AAAACAAAAAGAAAGAAAAACAGAGAACTCAAAATCAAAATTTGGGTTCTTTGGTTGGGTTCTGTTTGGAAGGTGAGAAAAGAAAAGAAAAGAAAAGAAAAAGAAGAAGAAGAAGAAGAATGTGGTTACCAAAATCGAGCCTAGAAAGAAAGGAGAAATTGAATGTGAATGGATTGGTGGCAGTGGCAATTGACAAAGACAAAGGAAGCCAAGGCGCTCTCAAATGGGCAATTGATCATTTGCTTCAAAAAGGACAGACTCTTTTCCTCATCCATGTCAAACCAAGATCCTCTTCTAACTCTTCCCAAAGTACCCCTCTCTCTCTCTCCAAATTTATTTTTTTATTATTAAATGAACCCGAGGTCGGAATTCAATCTAAAGCAATTTGGTGACATTCATGTTTTCTGTTTCTGGTTTCTAATCTTTTAAAAGATAATAGGGTTCTTGGAGCCAACAAGACAAAAACATAAACTTTTATTAAATGTAAAGAGACAATGTTCCTTCTCATTGTTGAGGAGCTAAGTATTTTTGGTTCTGAAACTGTTATTGAGTACTTATCTAAAACAATAAAATTTGAGTTTTTATTTCTAGTTCTCATTCGTTTCTTGTTTCTAATCTTTTAAAAGATATCAACATTCTGAAATTGTTATCTAGTTTTCATTTAAAACAACAAGTTATGAGTTTCTATTTAGGGAAAGAAAACATTATTTGATCATCTTCTACCTTTGATATGACATGGATATGAATATATTTTTTTACTTAAATAATTTCTTTTATTTTTTACTTTTTGGGTGCAGAGCCGAATTATAAATCTGACGCTGATGCTAACATCAAAGAACTATTCCTCCCTTTTCGTTGCTTTTGTACCCGAAAGGATGTAAGTTTTTTTTTTCCCTCCAAATTTTTGGTTTTGATATAAATTAAATTATGTGTGTGTTTTTTGTTAGATACAATGCAAAGATATTGTGTTGGAAGATGTAGATGTAGCCAAGGCCTTAATCGAATATGTGGCTAATACAACCATAGAGAATATTGTTGTTGGTGCTTCAGCAAAAACTGGCTTCCTAAGGCATGTTCTCCCTCTCTCTTTATTCATATCCATATGCATTTCTTTAAGGTCAACAAATTCAAAAGAAAATCTATCCAATCCAATCCACGGTTGAGTTGAGTTCGAAAAGTTCCAATTTTTATTAATTTTAACCTACGTATTTTCAAAAAGTATATTTCCATTCATGTATTTTAAAAAGGCGTCTATTTTGATTTATTTTAATTCATTTTCATCTCATTTATTTCCATCATAATTGTTGGGTTTGCAAGGAGAGTGCAAATAAAGTCCTATATTGATTAGGATTAGGAAATGAAATGATGGATTGATTTGAACTACAACGGAAATGAATAATAGTATTTAAATCAAAATTTTATTAATTTGGAATGATTTGAATTAATGGGGGGGGGCAGGTTCAAGGCAACTGATGTTCCAGGGAATGTAGTAAAAGGGGCACCAGATTTTTGCAATGTGTTCGTCATTTCTAAAGGGAAAATCCAATCCATGCGTTCGGCGTCTCGGCCTGCTCCGACGATAAGTCCTCTCAGAGGTCAATTAGCGCAACAATGCAGCGCCAAATCTGATGCAACCGAATTCCATTCTGCAACTGGAACTGCTGCAAGAGGTAATTTCTATTTCTATTTCTATTTCTATTTCAAACCAAATTTCTCTGTTTCTCTGATCTTCAATTTTCTCTCCAGTTTCCATCGAAAAGCCACCCGTTGGCCTTGATTTTCCCTCTAAACCACCGCAGGACGAGCTCGATTTCATGAAGTCAGTATTCCCTCTTTAACTTTACGTAATTCTTCAGATATGGATTATGATGTTGTACAAGTTTCAGTTTGTTGTTGCGAAACTGCTAGTTTACCCAAAAGAGGAACAAAAATATTGTTGAAGAAGCAGAAAATAGTGGTGTTGTTCTCTTTAGTTTGGTAGGCTAGGGTAGATTGATGAGCAAAAAATGTTGTTGGAAGCATTGTTCTTCTTGTACATGTTTCTGTTTGTTAGTTTGGTAAACTTGGCTAGATTGATGAGCAAAATGTTGTTGGAATGGAAGCAGGTCGCCATTCACCAGGAAAGGATACAATTACAAGGCATCGTATGGAGACTTGTCGATGCATGATTCGGATATATCGTTTGTTAGCTCGGGAAGGCCGAGTATTGATCGCATATTTCCTTCACTTTATGACAATCAAGATGTAGGGAGAGTTACCCCACGGATGTCGAGCAGTACAGATCTTGACTTGACTCACAGCTTCGAGTCGCTGCATATGGGACGGATGTCGCTCGATATGAGCTGTCCCTCCGAGTTCTCTTCCATCTCGCAAGATAGTGACAGACTCTCAATCTCATCACAGGCTATGGTAAGTTTTTTAGTCACTTTTGTAATTGTTTTGTAGTGAACTCTCCATTCAGTATTGTATCTCTTTTTCTAATGATGCAGGAAGATGTTGAGGCCGAGATGCGGCGGCTGAAGCTTGAACTGAAGCAGACCATGGAAATGTACAGTACAGCCTGCAAGGAAGCGCTTACAGCAAAACAAAAGGTAACTAATCGATTGGTTAACGTGGTATGTTGATTGTCTTCGATGGCTGCAGCACAATATATAATATGGTTTCCTTTCCAATGCAGGCAGTTGAGCTACAGCGCTGGAAATTAGAAGAAGAGCGGAGATTAGAAGAGGCGAGATTAGCCGGGGAAGCTGCATTGGCACTAGCAGAACAGGAGAAGGCGAAGTCGAAAGCAGCCATCGAAGCTGCTGAAGCAGCTAGGAGGATTGCGGAATTGGAAGCACAGAAGAGAATGAAGGCTGAAATGAGAGCACTAAAAGAAGCTGAAGAGAAGAAAAAGGCAGTTGATGCATTGTCACAAAATGATATCAGGTATAGAAAGTATACGATCGAGGAGATCGAAGCGGCAACGGAGTTCTTTTCCGAATCCCGCAAGATCGGAGAAGGAGGTTATGGGCCTGTATATAAGTGTGATCTCGATCATACTCCTGTTGCGATTAAGGTTCTACGTCCTGATGCAACTCAAGGACGGTCACAGTTTAAACAAGAGGTAAGCGATCGAGCAGTTTAAAGAAGAGAAGAGAAGCCTTCAATTAATGAATTAATTTGTTCTAACTTAAAGAAAACCATTGAACAATCACAGGTAGAAGTTCTTAGCTGCATTCGGCATCCGAACATGGTTCTCCTCCTTGGAGCTTGCCCTGAGTATGGCTGCTTGGTGTATGAGTTCATGGCGAATGGTAGCTTAGAGGACCGACTTGCGCGACGAGGAAACACGCCTCCTCTTTCATGGCAGCTGAGGTTTAAAATTGCAGCTGAAATTGGAACGGCATTGTTGTTCCTACACCAGACAAAGCCAGAGCCTCTTGTGCACCGCGATCTCAAACCCGCCAACATCTTGCTTGACCGTAACTTCGTGAGCAAGATCAGTGATGTTGGCTTGGCCAGGCTTGTACCTCCATCAGTTGCCGATAACGTAACGCAATATCGAATGACATCAACTGCTGGAACATTTTGCTACATCGACCCCGAGTATCAACAGACGGGTATGCTCGGTGTGAAATCTGACATATACTCCCTAGGTATCATGTTTCTCCAACTGATAACTTCCAGGCCCCCAATGGGTTTGACTCACCATGTCGAAAGAGCTATTGAGAAGGGGACGTTCGCGAGTATTCTCGATCCAACCGTCTCCGATTGGCCTGTCGAAGAAGCTCTGTCTTTCGCCAAGATGTCACTCAAGTGTGCTGAGTTAAGACGTAAAGATAGGCCCGATCTCGGGAAGGCCATCCTGCCAGAGCTTAACAGGTTGAGAACCATTGCAGAAGACACAATGCATCCAACACTGATGGGAGGAGACACAAGTCCCTCCCGTAGCCACAGCCAAGTTTCTCTACAGTTGGTAAGTTCAAAAATGACCAAAATTTTAGGTTCTAATCAGTCAAAAGAAACCATTTCTACTCTTTAATCCTGAGCACGTATTGGATAATAACTATTTTTAACACATCGATCGTTTTATTGCAGGGGTCAATGACTTCGTCCCATCAATCATTCTATAGCTCGAAAAATCATTCTGTTACTTGATCGATGGAAAAATTCTGAGAAACAAGAGTTGTTTGAGCACGTAAATTATTCATCTCGACTGGCATGTTTGATTCAAAAAAAGTATTTGGTAGCCCAAGAAGATCTTATTTGATTCAAACAAGAATATGTAATGGTTAGGAGAATAATAATGAATCACTTTTTCAGAAGAGGAATGTAAAAGTTTTGCCTCAGCTTATCCTCAGACGATGATCGCCATTGATTTGTAGGATGTTGGCTGTGCTGAAGGGCAGAAAATTGACGATATTTATTTGTTCATCTTTTGCTTCAGTGATGTACAAATTCTCTTCTTTATTTTTTTTTATTTTATTTTTGCCATTCTTTTGTAACTCATTTGATTATGTATCATAGGGGCTAGTGGTGTTTGTAAATCCATTTGTTCACATTTTCTCTGTTCTTTGATAAAAAATTTTAAGTTGATGAGGTTGAAAAATGCTAGATTATCCTCACTTTTCTATATAATCATTGAAAGATTATTAATAACTTAACAAGGATCAAGTTGATGTATGGTCGAATGGATCTTCTTACATGAATAGGATACAGACCAAATATAAAATAAATAAAATGGGGGAAAACAAACCTAAAGAAAAGCTAATAAATTAATTTACAATAAAGTTATGATTTGTATAAAAATCCTTCCTAATAATTAATATTGGTAACAAAAATGAAGAAATAATAAGCCAAACCTTAGGCCTCAACAGCTTGGTTCCTCCACCTTAGGCTTGCTTTTAGGCCGCCCGCACCTTCTAACATCATTACTTGATAGAAGCTCCAACGCTTTCTCTAAGGTTATACCATTCGGCTTCAAATTCTGTCACAATAATACAACTTTTCAAATAATTGGAATTATTATTTTGGCGTGTAATAAAYAGCAAGCCTCTGGTTGTTAGAACAGTAACAACGTTCAATTTCCACGTTATTCCATATATTATCGCCTTTCTCAAAGAATGTCAATCTCATCTAATCGCTAGTCTCTAATCTAGGATATTAAATTTCTATTGACATGTCGGTATTTTTATGTCCATGAGTTCGACATTGACATTGACATAAAAAAAGCGACAAAATACAAAAACTTGTGAGATGGTTATTTGTTAATTTAAATATTTTGTACGGATTTTCTTTTAATATAATTCTTTTGGAAATATCCACCAATATTGATATTTTATCGATATTTCCATCAACATTTCTATAAAATTGAGACATAGGCATCGAAAACCTTGCTTTAATCTCTCTCTCATGTTGAGCATAGCTCAACGGTCAAGGCATCTTGCTCTTTCCCTAGGGTTCAAAGGTTCAATTMTTCCTCCTCACATCTTTTATACTCAAAAAATAAAAGAAAAAATCTCCCCCTCATCGGTCCCTCTCTACAACTCAAATCTCTCTCCCCCGTATATAAATAAAGGCCCAGTGACTCAACCCAAGTCGGGTTCRACATACCATCAGGCATCAACCTAACCCGACCCACATCGTGAAAYCCTCATTTTCCAGTTGACCATTATTTTGTTATTAAGAGGAAACATAGTTATTTGCAAGCAAAAATGGCCAAGCAGATCGATAACAAAGTAGAAAATGGGAAGGAAAAGAAAAAAGACCTTCGGAATAGTAGCTATCGTGCGCCGATGTCTAACTGAGAATCCAGCTTTTGCTATCTTTATTATCACTGGTTGACCATCCTTTGGATGGTTTCCCTGTCAAGAAGATAATATTTAAACAAAAATGAAAAGTTTATCGAATAAAAATATATAACAGAAACCATCTTCCAAAGAAAGTGAATATACCAAAGTAATCGGGTAGCGTAATAGTTCAAGGGCATCCTCGAGAGTAATAGAGTCCACGTGCTTTATCTAAAAAGCAAAGGGCCACACATAAATCAAAATTCATAGGAATTCAAAGAGTTAACGGCAGAGACTTTTATGATGTTGACAAAATCACTGCTTCCAAGAATTGATAAACTCTGCCATTAAAACAGGCGGGAAAGATAAAATAGCCCTTTTTTTGTGATTCTCATATGAATTTGAAGGAACTAGGCCAATGCAATAGCAACGAATTCTTGTGTAGAAATATCTTTAGAGGTATGTCAGCTATGCCTTAGGGATTCTATAGGAATACAATAATCTTGTATAAATTGTTTTTCTCTGACTTTTTGTCCTCCTTAAACCACAATTCTTCATTCTAGACATATWTGATAGAATTTCATTCTGTATCTGACGTGTCTAAATCTAAAAACTTAAACATATAAGTAAAAAGATTAGAAAAGGTAAGATTATGATACATTCGTGGATATAACAACAGAGGTCTTTAAAATTAAAATTTTTAAAAGAAATGGTAAATTCAGTTTCTATTTTAAAACAAAGATAATTAACGGAGAAAAAAATGAATTTTAAAATAAATTTCCTCAAGTCAATAAAAATTGCATGAAGTTAAACCATGATCAAACACGAGTACATCAGATTGCATGTTTTACATATATCAGTGTAAAGTCTTTTATATATCTGCGTCAAGAGAAAATAAAACCGTACCTGAGATACAGAGGCTCTTTTGGGCAAGTACCCTTTCCTGTCCTCACCAAGTTGTACGTAAAACCCATATGGACCACTCTTCAAAAGAATCTGAAAGGAAACATTATTTATTATCATTAACAAAATCATATAAAATGCAACAAAATTGTCGTAAAGGAGTCAGCTTCATATGCTTATAAAACTTTAAGCAGTAGAGGCAACCTTTTCATTGGAAACTGGATGAAGACCGAGCAATTTTGGCTCCTCTACACTGTTGTTATTTTGAGGAGTAACTTCTTCATCCTCACCATATAATGTTTTTGCAATGTACCTGACCGAAACAAGAAAGTTAAGTACTATTCCGTTTGTTGAGAATAAATACATGACTTGGTTGAAGGACAGGGGCAAGGAACTAATTTTCAACTTGATGCCTGAATGGTAGAGGGAAGTTACAACTACGTTATTCTGTTTCATACTCACTTGCATTTTGGGTGTTGATCACAACCTATGAAATAGCCCGCACCAAACCGACTAACTTTGAAAATCAGAGTGCCCTCCAGACAACTGAAAGCAAAATAACTAGAAGTTAGCAGAATGCTTTACAAGAGAATCCTATTAAACTTACAGAGAAATAGAGTTTCATGAAAGCTCTCCAAGTGGCAGAATTTGACATTTAACTAAGTCCCTATTTTATAATGATTATAATTATAATTTTCTGTTTTCTAAAAAAGTAGTTTAGTCCACTCACAATTGCTTTGTTTCATTTTTTATCTCTCCAAAAACACTTTTTGCATTCTTAGCTAAACTGTTTTCTTCCCATTTTTGTAGGAAACAGAGATTTCACTAGATCAAAGAAATACACCTAAGAAATGGAGAGGGAAGCCAACCCCTCAACGAAGTTTGGTTAAAAAGGCCCTCCAATAGCTAGGATCTCAAAAATATTCTTAAAAAGTAAGTTCTGTTCATCATGATTTTACAATACAGTTGGGGGGTGTAATGGGAAAGCGTTTGGGTAGGGTTTTTTTTTTCTTCCTTATCTCCTTCCTTCCTTTGTTGAACTATTTTCCCAGTAAACTTATCACTTCGCCCATGAAAAGTTATGTTTCCATTCTTTTTTCTAAAAAAAAAGCTCTAATAAATAAAAAAATCATAGAAGAATAGATGTTAATTTAGGTTATGATATGCTAACTTCAGTTGAACTTGTTCGAGACTTTCTGTTGTTCAATGTCTGGCAAGTGGCAATCATCTCGAATTATAATCAGCCCACATTGACCAAACGATTCTCAAGAAAAGTTCAATACTCTGGTAGCCCGAAATTCTCTGATGATTTGAGTGGCTGTTTAGCTTGCTTTTATATTTTTCAATACAAGACATTGATTCCTATGAAGAAAGCAAGCAAAATATTTTGCTTTATATGTGCATCAAGGTCTTACGTTCCAATTCTTTACAGTGGAATGAAGTAATGTATTTCTCCTGTTTTAAAAACTTCCTGGTTTCCCATTCGTAAGTTACATGAGCTGAATGAAGAGAAACTTTTTACTTCAACAAAATGGACAATTTTCATTACATTCATGTGACGTTTGAATGTAACTAATGTGTTGTTTTCAAAGACATAAAAACTTGGTGATCAAATGGATGAAAAATAGCCAAAACGCATACCTTGGACATGTTCTGCAATTATCAGGAAGAAAAGAAAATAAGAAATCCCCAAATTTCTTCTCCAACATCTTTTCCACCTGAAATATTAGACAGCCAATGTATAACAACTGTTTTCTTCTTATTATTATTACTTTTTTTTTTGGTGGGGGCCTTTTGAACCCTATGGTACGGTACCACCTCTTATACAAAAAACACTTTTTACCTGATGAATATGAACACTGTTAGCAAGTTCACAATATGAGCTGAATCGAGTCCAATAATCTCTTAGGAGGCCTTTCCATTCAGTTAAACCAGCAGAGACGTTATCAAGCTGAAGCAAGAGAGTACGATCATGTAAAAAATCACTATTACCAAAAGAACAGGAGAAAGGGGTGGTTTATTTAGCATATCGTTCTAAAACTTATAATAGTATATTTGTTAATTTTTTAGATTTCCCATAATGGTAATGAGATATTCCGTTACTTGAATATTGGGTTACCTTTGTAAACATGTCAAGGATACCAAWATACAAACGGCAAACTACTACATTTTATGCACAACGCAGAATGTGTGTGATCATGATTCCGTATGTGGTTGTAGTAGATAAAAAGCCTTCAATAACAATTCAACTCACCTCAGTTTCCATGTCAGCAGTAAAACTATAATCTGTGACCTCAGAAAAATGGTGACAAAGAAATGCCGACACCTTAAATCACAATAATAAAAGAGAAGAGTAAGAATTAAAATAGGCTCATTGAAATTTGCACATTACAAAATCAGTTTGAGATAAAATGACACATTACAGTATAGGGACATAATCTAAATAAATAACACTATAACTAGGGGAACCAATAAAAATAACATACTTGAGAGGAAGACTCAGAAAGAGAGATTGAATAATAGTATTAATGAAGAAAATACCCATGTATATGTTTAAATCAATGATTTGAATTTACAAATATAGATACAAGTATTTTGATGTTTATTAGTATTTCAAGAACAGATATATACACAACAAAAACTTTGTATAAAGGAATAAAAGTACTATAAATTTTTGTACTAAACTATAAATAGATTTCCTCAAAAAAAAAAAAAAACTATAAAGAGATTAAGTGGATTTTGCTTAACTTTAAAGAAATAATTTGAAAATTAATTGGAGTCTAGAGATAGATCTATATTTCCTTTTTCTCCTTTTGCTGGGTGGTTTYCTATATGTCCTTGTCATATTCTTTCATTTTTTTCAATGACAACTCAATTTCTCATAATATACACACACACCATTTCTTTTTTAAGGAAACATACTTTTTATTGATAAAATAAATTATAAAGAAAGAAATAGATACAAGGTATACCTTAAAATTAAAGAGAAAGATACATCATACAATGATAAACATAAAGAAAGAAATTGATAACAGGAAAAAAAAAAAAAAAAAAGAGTTACAAGCACAGCATAAGCCCACAAAACAAAGGAAAATAAGATGGTCAGAATATCACATTGTAAGCAAATTGCAAGAAATTTGTAAGACAAGAAATAAAATTTTGAACTTTTGGAGAATGGAAAATTCAAGGTGATTAAAAGTTACAAGCATACCATACGCCCACGAAACTCTGGATGTAGAACACGACTTTTCACTGACACATAGTTTCTGTCCTGATAGTAAAATAAATCAAATAATTAAATGCAAGTAAATGATATCATTTTGTAAGTGTAGACAAAATGATAAATAACTTCAAAAGGTATGTCAGAATCAATTCGTGTCGTACATTACAAGTATCATGCTTAGTGTTTAAAAAAAAGAGAGGGAGAGATGGAAAAAGAAAAATTTCATTCCAATTCCACTTCTAGAATGAGTGCATATAAGGTTTATCATGCAAGGTAAAAAAAAAAATATATATTTGAGAAATGATATGAAATTAAGTACAAAAGGTGCAAAACAACCCATTCTAGGGTGTTACAAAAAAGCTCTCCAATTGGATAACGATGTGGAGATGCTATAGTTATGAAAAAGTGGTACATTTATACCATGAGACAACCATGAAAGTTAGTGACTCGAAAACTCGTTCAAAGGGGAGTTCCTTGACATGGAAGATCCTATGATCCCTTTCCATTCAAATGGACCAAAACAACCCTCAAACCAAAATCACCCAAAGAATCTTTTTTCCCTCATCCAAAGAATCTTTTTTCCCTTTTCAAAAAAGTGACCCGCTAGAGTGTCAAGACAACCAATGTACCAACTACCAAGTCCTTTGTTTGGGAAATTGAACATGTGTTATGGATTGGTTTGTAGTGCCAAGTTTTTAGGAATAATTGCGAAAAGTTTAGGCATTTAGATGAAAAATCCTGATCCTACCTGCAGTTCTAGACTAGTTTTATTCAATAGGAAGGTAGGGGCTATGAGGATCTAGAGGCTGTATGTTTGAATGTCTTTCAAATATAGCTAAAATCATGAACCCAACACATAGTTCAAAGCCAAAACAAGTTAATCTTAATACAGCTTTACATTCACTTCAACGTGGAAACAAGTCCTTTTTTTTGTACAAGACTGGAAAAGAGTATACATTCAGTCTTAAAGATACATTAGCAAAAATTATATTATATGATCCCCATAGAAGTAACAAAAGATATTTAACAGCACGAAACTGGTTATCTACTCAGAACCCGATTATGACATTCACAACACTTCAAGTTTTGAGCTATTACTCAACATGATAGGATGCAATCGTCCATCATATTTATGAAGCTTCATACTACAGAACAATAAATAAAGACACAAATTTCGAATTCATCCTCTGCAATGATCACAAGTAACCTGTAAAACTTTTAATGTGGTTGCATATGTGGAAGGTCTCCCAATCCCTAGCTCCTCCATCCTCTTAACCTGCAGTATCCGGTTCCAGTGAAATAAGAGAACTTCCAAAAAAAACTAGAAAAGACTGACGCAAAAATGTCCCTTTCACTTTACATTATGGGGCGCATATGCACATGACTTGAGGGACCCAATAGATATTAAGTCTAATCAGGTTATAACCTACCAAATAGCCCACAAATTCTCTCATATATCTGGTAGAGCAGAAGAGAAAAAATCTACGTATTTAAGAACAATTAAAAGTACTTAATTTTTTGTGTTACATCACCCAACTAATCTCTTTCCAAATTAAATTTCCATATATTGATGAGGCGCAAAAATTTTCTATACATAGGTTTCATTTAGTAAACAGMCTGGAAAAAGGGAATTTGCTGCTCCCAGGTTGTCTCTATACTAATATTTGGGCCAGTTATGAATAATTTAAGGCTCTTGAACTCATCTTCAGTCAAATATTATAGTTTTAGGACAAGGAAAATGAAGTATATGTAAGCATGAGAAAAATGCACGCATTTAGATAAAGAAATGTTATAGAGCCATTATAAGAAAATGACAGATTGAAAATGAAACATGGACTATACACTATTCTCCTGCATTTTACAGAAACCAATATTTTTTCCATGAAGGATAGATTTTTTTAAGAAAATGTGTAAGCTCTTGAATCTCAATGAGAAATGGTGACACTAATAATATTTTCCAAGTGTTCAGCTATTTATAGGCTCAAAAATTTGGGTCTAATAGCTAGCAGCAGTTTAGACTCACCAATGTTCCCTCAGAATAGCGAGGTGGGGGCTGGGTAAAATGTTGCTTGAGTTCAACTSCAGACAGAGACAATTGATCCCCTGGCTAAAACTAACTGGTTAATAAAAATAAATATCCGCACCATCTGTACTACTACAGTCACCATGGAAAAATGATATTCAAGGACAAATTGTGAGAATGAAAAAAATGAGAGGGATTAAATAAGAAGAAACTTTACTCAATTTTTATGGAAATTACATGCCAACCAGCAGTAGGAAAAGAATCTAATGCAAAGAACTTTTATGTTTCAGCAAAAGATACATACATAAGCCTTACAACATAAATTTTTTCAACGAAATAAAAATAGGTTGCTGTTGTAGATATTAACAAATAACCAAATAGCCAACCAAAATCAATAATATAAAACCTTTTACCTGTAATGCATTAAGAATTCTAAACAGTTCCTCACGCCCATTCTCTTCATGGTCTTTTTGTCTGACAGCATCAGCTTCTGGGTCCTGACAAATTATTAGATCTTTACATTTTTTTTATAAGAAACAAAAAGATTGTATTCAAAATCAATGAGAGCCGACAAAAAGACAGAGACAAGAGGCAGAGGGTAGAGGGAACCCTCCCCTAGAGAACTATGCAATCACTGAATTCCAACTCTGAAGGATCGAAAAGAAACCGTAGTTACAAAAAATTTTCTTGTGGGTAGATGCCCACCAAGAAGCTGTATGCTTAATATTCACACAAAAAGACTCAAAATGGGTCTCTTTGTTCTCAAAAAGTCTATTGTTCCTTTCCTTCCAAAGAAGCCAAAGAAGAGCCCTTGCAGCACAATTCTAAAGGATATAGGCTTTTCCTTTGAGCGCGGAGCCACCAAAGCTTTCAGCAATGAAATCATCCACTTTCTTAGGTAAACAAAGAGCAAAGTCTAGGAGAGAAAAGCTAYGTAGTTCCAAGCCCGAGTAGCAAAAGAAAAAGAACATTAGATCTTTACATTTCAAAACTACCCGACCCCATAAAGGTCAAATATTAAGGTAAGAAACATGTMTTTAAGGAGAAATGATGAGCAAACATGAGGACAGAAAAGATGTCCTCCCAGAGCAAAAGCCCCTTGGAACTTACAAAAAGTAGGATCAATTGGCATGAATAGTTGGTAAATAATTTTAAAAATATTTAGAAAGCAAACTCCAAGGGAAGCTACAACACAAGGTTTAGACAGTTAGAACTCAAAACAGAAATCAATGAGAAAAATTCGAAGCATTCTTTATGTGCAAGTAAACAAAATAGTCAACCTCTCTCCAAAAGAACACTTAGCATGACACTATCATACCTCAAAAACTTCTTGGAATCCACGAAATTGAACTCTTGAGCATGTAGATCGGAAAATGATGGACTCATTTGCAAGTCCACTGTCGATTTGAATCTGGTAACACAACAAAGAATTTTGGTAAATTCACAACTGAAATTGAAGGTAACTTCAATTTAAAAATAAAAGAGAAGGWAAGAAATGCGGATCTAGTTATTGGAATTCCTTTAGAAAAAGGAATTTTGTAGTCATATTCACCTGGAAAAGACACCCAGAAATTAATGCTTTTTTTAACAAAAAAAAAAAAGAACTTTTCATTCATATTTTCTTTTTGATAAGATACAGTAAATATTTCATTGATATGATGAAATATATTTTTCGTTGTTATTTGAAAAGTTATAGAACCTGTCTTGATCCCACTCTAAGCCACAATAACGTCAGTTTTAGGTCAGGGTAACTCTTGACCTCAGTATCTCTACCAGACATTTTTGCACTTGTTAAAAATGCCTCATATTTTTGCTAGCCCTTTCACTTGGGATATGGTTTGATACTTTTTATCAGCTCATTTGCCTCTTCTGTATCATAGCTTTCAGAACCAGTAGATAACTTGTTTGTCATATATATATTCTTTTTTAAAAGGCGCCCATGTTAGTATCTTCTTTATAAGAAAAACTAAGAACCTCTTATCCAAAAAAAAAAAAAATACAAACCAATTGGAATAAAGAATATTAGTTTTACTAAACAGTCCTCATGTTCCTGTGATAAAATTTATCATTTGAAATTGACAAAGAGAAATGTTGAATAAGATAATAGAATTAAAAAAGTGGAACATGCATTCTGACCTGTTCAGTGATTGAAGGTTCCATTTGGCATGCCATAGTTCGGAGCCAAATAAGAGAGTATAGTTTGTGTGAATCTTCATCAAGTGTCCCTACTAGCATTGCTGGAAGTGAATACAAAGAAATAAGAACAAAAATTGGTTATAAAGTTTTTCACTGAAATGGAAAGGCTGGAAGAAATAATCTTAGAAGTGAACTAAGTTGGAGTGGATTACTAGGAGAAAACAACTCAAATATATTCACTAATCAAGCATCATTTAACCAGGCTCAGAAAATTGTGTTTTTACATGGTAATTGTTGCACATCAGTGGGTCTGATTGCTTCATGAGCCTCTTGAGCATTCTTGACCTTCTTAAAATATTTGCGTGCACTTTCTGATACAAAATTCTGCCCATATCTGCAAACAGCAAGTTTTTGAAGAATAAGAAAATTGAAGCACTAAAACCCTTTTAGGGTGAAGTAAAAAAGGTTGCACCTAGAAAAATTGAAACAAAAACATTTTCCTAAGTGAAGGGCTACTACAGCTTTAAGTAAATCATTTGCCTTAAAAGCTTGTCACAAGAAAGTGCTTAGTGAGTTTCACGAAAGAGGGATTAAAGACRAGACTTTTTAGGCATTGGGGAGCCCAAGCATCCCAAAAAGTYGTCAAAGTGGAATTTTGAACTTTCACCTCTGTATAATCAAGGAGCGAATGTCCTTAACAGCTTCATCAGATATCTGAAATAGAAAATGGTTCAAGTTACAAAGGTTACACAAGATGCACCAATAATTTTCGAAAATAAAAGAATAGGGACAAAAAAGTTGATGCAGAACATCATCCTTAAGAACGTTCTAGGGAAGCCTGACACAACTATGAGCCAGAGCAACTAATAGGCCAAAACAGACTACTGTTAACAAGATAGAGTAACAGAGATAGCAGGGAGGTGTAGTTCAAGGCAAAAAAGGTTTTACATGTAGCCCATCTGTTCTTGGATAAGTTATTAAGCCAGCTGCCTTGCCATCAGCCAACTGAATTCCCTCATAAAGTTTCTGTGCAAGCTGCATAGAAAGTTATATAAGTTGTAGGAGCATACAAAAAACTACACCCCTAACGTTCTAAGTTGCAAGCAATAAAGGAAAGAAAAGAAAACTGGGGCTCAAAGTCTTAAATCACATATGAAACCACTTATATTCATACTGCATTTGAGTAGATCCTAACCTTCTACACACAAATTCGCACAAAAAAATTGAAAGCAAAAGGAATCTACCAGTCAATGATTCAGAACGTGATTTAAGGTCAAACTATTTTTTATGATATAAAATTGTAGTGGGAAAAGGTAAAATAAAATGGAAATTTAACCTGCCATAATAGGCAGTGTTTTCTTTTTATTTGATAAGAAACAACACTTTCATTGAGAGAAAATGAAAAATAGATACAAAAAACGGAGGGCGTACAAAAACATCCCCACAAAAGGGAACCCCTAAAGAAACGGGCTCCAATCCAAAAGAATGAGACCTAACTGATAATTACAAAAGATCTTAAAGACCGAACCCCATAGGAAGTGTTAAATCTAATAGGCAGTGTTTACTGAGCAAGAATGGGCTTTAGATATAAATCAGAATAAAATGTTTGAAGAAAAGTAATTATCTTATGTTATGGGGAACTGCATGATGAGGGGAATCAAAATTACCATGTACCTTCATTGTATAAGTTGCAGGAAAATTATATTTATTAGCTGCATCTTGCTGAAGCGTTGATGTTATATATGGCATAGGAGGGTTTCTACGCACTTTATTCTTTTTAGTGCTGAGTACTTGAAAAGTTACTGATTTCAGGGCTGTTTCTATATTCGTTGCCTCTGTGTTGGAGCTAATTGAAAACTGATTTAACTTCTTAGAGTCAAAATGGGTCAAATGTGCAGGGATTGGAAATTCTTCCACTGAAGAACGGGGATCTTTTTGGTTCAAATCAATGTCGACAGTCCAATACTCTTGTGGCTGGAATTCATCAATTTCCATTTCTCTGTCACATATTAGGGCCAGCGCAGCAGATTGAACTCGCCCAGCTGATTGGCAACCTGGTAATTTCCTCCATAATAATGGTGAAATATTAAATCCAATCAAATAATCTAAGGCACGCCGTGCAAGGTAAGCCTGAACCAAGTTTACATCAATTCCTCTAGGAGATTGCAGAGCAATCTTGATAGAAGCCTCAGTTATTTCATGAAAAACAACCCTTGCTATGCTAATACCTTCGTGTAGAGCATCCTGCTGCTGCAACATCTCAATTATATGCCAAGAAATAGCCTCGCCTTCACGATCAGGATCAGATGCAAGAATAAGGTTCTCTGCTCTGATGAATAAATACAAATCAAGAGAAAATAAAAATTAAACCCGAAGGAATTGGAGGTAAAAGAAAAGAAGGCACATTAAACATCACAAAATAAGTCATAGAGATGGATGACAATTTCAACCATATACAAGAAGCAAATAAAACTTAACTATCATTATTAAGCTGACCAAAAATACGGTTGCATGCAGTGCAGGCCAAGCTAACAACAAAATCCAGGTGCATACCCATTTAAGGAAACTTTTATGCTCTTGAGATGAGTCCAGGCAGCAGATGGAACCTCCCACACCATACTGAAGTCATCATCGGGTCTTACAGATCCTGACCTTGCCGCCAAGTCTCTAACATGGCCATGGCTAGGTATCACCTCGAACATATCTCCAAGATAATTCTGAATAACCTTTGCCTTTGTAACAGATTCCACCACCATAACAGACTTTCCCATTGGGGGATATAGCTGCTTCAGAGTCATTTGTCCCTGAGGTTTTCCCTTTCCATCCACCACAAAGTTTTGCTTATGTGGCAACTTATTAGTATCTTTTTGAGCTTCTCCTTTTCTGGTAGAGTTACCGCTTTTCTTAGTGGATTGTTGTTTTGTTGAAGGAGAACCTTTGGAAGTATCCCCAGATGACTTTTTCTGAAAAACTGCACTGTTAGTTAAAATAATGCAACGGGAGGGGAAAAGGGGATTGAGAACATTCATCAATTACTACTTGCTAACCTTTGGATCTTGTACAAGATTCTGGTCATTGGTGCTACTATCTAAGCTCTTCGATGGACCATCCTTGCTTACGACTCCAACATCTGCAGCATTGGTTGAAGAGATGGCTTCCTTCTTCTTATTGCTTCGAGACTTCTTTTCTTTCAAACCCTTAGATGATTTGCCAATGGATGAAGAAGAATTAGATGAAACTACATCTGCCTCTTTCATAACCCCAACCAACTGTTCACTCGAATTTGTTTCATCAACACTAGTGGAGCCTGAGGTGCCTGAAGCACTAGTTCTCTTTGTCCTGGATGTAGCAACTGGCTTTGCACCCTTCCATTTTTTATTCAATCCTTTAAATGGTAATGAGCTTATTCCATTAGTAACATATGGAACATTTTTATTGTCGCTCTCATTCCGTGCTTCCGTTGAATGAGAAAATAACTTTTTCCCAAAAGCTCTATAATTAAGAAGTTTGGATGAAAAACTGCCATCTAACAGCCGTTGGTTAGAAGCATTTGAAAATGCAACAGAATGAGGAAATCCCAATGTTAAGCGGGAATATAGAGTAAAAGCACAATTTGGCCCATCACATGAAAGATATTGCCCAGCCTTTGCACGTTCAGTCTTGATAGAAAATGTTGCTCCGCCTTTTCTAAAAGTAACCTGAGAACCTCTAGCGTAATTACAAGTAGTAAAAGGTAAAACAGGTATGCATTTGCTAGTATAATTTTGAAGAGTCCTGCTCTGCAACTGCAACACAAACACCAAGTAAAATAACACATTATCACCACAATAAAAATATAAAATTCACTGGGTCACTCCAAAATATTTAGACAAATAACAAAGAATCAGAAGTAATCAAAATCGTCAATGCCAAAAGTTTGCTTGTTGTTGACAAAAATTCAAGCATACATGGACTTGCAACACTTCATGCGTTTTTCCAAGGGAGACATTATTGATCATTAGTCATTACCAGTTACTTTTTATAAATGTTAATACAGTTCACTTCTAATATTTTACTGCAAGACAGGAGTGTATGAGAGTGAATGTTATAAACTCCAAAGAAAAAAAGAAAAAGTAAAAAAGAAAAAACATGACGAAACTGCAAAGAGAGATCGGTAGAAAACACATTATTACCGCCACAAAAATATAATTCACTAGGCCACTCCAAAACAAATTTGGATAAGGAACAAGTGAGCGCAAGTAACCGAAAATGTAAACTACCAGAAGTCCGCATGGCGTCAAAAAAAAAAAAAAAAGATCATCGAGCATATGTGAACTTGCAATTCTATGATCGTTTTTCCTCGCGAAGATTTTATTTATCATCATAACTTAAGTTAGCTCCTCTCTGATATTTGCTGCGAGACAAATCTCTAAACAGGAATGCAAAAGCAACAGGCGAAACTACAAAGACAGATTGGAAGAAAACACATTAACGCAATAGAAACATGAATTCAATAGGCCATTCCAAAACATTGAGAAAAATAACAATTTAGCGGAAGTAACCAAAATGTCAAACACCACAACACTCAAGCATGTATGGAAATTCCACTCCTCGAGCATCGTTTCCTAAGGAAGATTTCATTGATCATTACCGATAAGTTTTTACAATTTTCTTGCTGCCAGCCAATCCTCTAAACAGAAACGCAAGAGAATAAATGCAAAAAATAAAAAGAACAGACAAAACTGCAGCGAGTAATTGAAAGAACATGAGAACCTTAGCCATGAAAGGACCAAACCGCGAGGATGGACAAGACGGAGTTGTTGAAAGTAGAGATGAAGATATGGCGTTACTGGAAGTAGTTGCCAAGAACAAGCTCCTCTGAAGCTGGCTCATTGCCTCAACAATATCAATTGACGAGCATCTTCACTTCCGAGCTTCTTCTCCGACCGAACTTTCACTTTGAAGTAAAAAGAGAGACATAGGTTTTGGTTGAGAGGTTTTGAGATTAAGCAAAGCCACTCTCGCGCCACAACGTTAGGGCTATGTCATTTTTTTTTTCTTTTTTCTTTTATTTTCTCTGCAGATTTTTTATTTTACTAATTTTCACAATGAACCCATCCGATTGCGCTCGAGGCTCCCCGATATAGTTCATTTAATACATTTTTGGGCCTGCAAACGTCAGCATACAAAATAGAAAATAGCGAGAAATTACTCGGTCAAAAATCTCAAATAAGATGTCTTAGTCCATGGACTTGGTTGATATCATTCGAACATTCAAATGAGTATAAAAAATATGTTTCATAATTTTTGAACATGTACACATAATATATTAAAATTTGAAAATTGCAAGTTTGATTTTTTTTTTTCAAGTTTATGCTAATAATGCAACTGCTTAGATATTTGATACCCCGCGCTAATTGAACTATTATAAATAATTTAAGCTGCGTTTAGTTTGTGATTAGAAAATAAAAATTTGAAAATAAGTTATCCAATTTATATTATTTGATTTTAGTGTTTTTAGAAATATGTTTGGTACCCTTTTTGATAATTGAGTTTAATATGTCAATATATTTGTAAATTAGTAGCTATCAATCAAATATTTAGTTTAATCTAAAATAATAAAATTATTTATTTATATTTTTTATTAATTTTATAATATATTATATTTTGCATGTTTTATTTTTAACCAACACAATAAAAGTTTTTAACCTGAAATAATATATTTATATTTTTAATGTAATTATGTATCTTAAAATTTCAAATTCTAAATATGAAAACACTAAAAATGATCGCATAATATGAAACCAGTTTTTAAAAACAAATCTACCAAACTCTACAGATATATATTAATATTAACTTATTAAGTGACTCTGAAAACAACAAACATAATCTAGCCAACCAAGCGGYCTGTATTATTTTATAAAGAACAAAAATTAATAACTTACCTGCAAAAGTAGATTAGTATGATAAAATAAAGGTGAAAAACTAAAAGACATTTATACTTAAAAGTCTTCGTAATGTATTTTGTAAGCATTTATATAAATAGCGTAAAATATATTTCTAATTATTGTAATAAAATTTTAAATTTTACAAAAATAGCATTATCCAAGTATAATATAAAACATCTTTTGAAACTGCATTTATATTGAAACAAAAAGGTTGTGACTCTTTTATCAAAATTCATTGTGGTATGATACTGACAATTGTTGATATTTAAGTTGTGATTTGATAGTTATAAATTATTATTATCAAAATAAGACGCTTATCTTTTAATACGAGGGTGATATGATTTAGGATATGAAGGTGATATGATTTGATATGTTTTGAATTATTTTAGTATTGGTAGTGTTGGTATCCAATTATGACTTTGATATAGGTTTTAAATTCATTGATCTATGTATCTAAATTTATTTGATTTATATATTACTTTATTTAATTGTCGTGATCCTATTATAAATATGTGGGTAGGGTGTATCCAATTTAAGACATTGAATTCAATATAAAACCTTATTTTATATCTATGTATTTTCTCGACATAAAAAGTTTCATAAATTTAGCATATTTACCATTTGTAATTAAAATGTATAGATTTATATATTTTTTTTAACTATGCTATTGGCAATAAAATATAGACTTACAAGAAACAATGCTATAAATAAAACATCGAGGTTTTATCAGTAAATATGTGAAGTTTAATTAAATATCAAAATAGGAAAAAAAAAATAAAGAGAAAATATTACAAATGCGTTTACCGCAGGTTCGGAAAATGATACAAACCACCTAAAAGAAAGTTTTCAATTTAGTTATATGACCCAACAAGAGCGACGATATAAAAAGAATTTTGGAAATAGAAGAGAATAAATGGGGGAGGGAAGGGAAAATGGAAGAGGAATTATTATAATTTTACAGTTATTGAATAAGAAAAATAGAAGAAGAGAAAGAAAATCGAAAAAAAGAGTAACAATAAATAAAAAAAATGAGAAAAGGCATAATAGTTCGAAAAAAAAAATACTTTTACCATTGTAATCTGGAATGATTTTTTTATTTTTTAATTCGAGTTGTTCAAATTAGAATGGACGTAAATTTCGGACGCGTAAATCTCAGCAGCAAGCGATGGCCGAGCTCGCCGGAGCGGCGGTGGAATTGCGAGAAGGAAGAGAGTCAAGGAAGGTAGCACCGAGAAAGTGTGTGAAGCAGCTCGGATTCAGGTCTGAAAGACTACGCTGGTGAGTGTCTGTATGTTATAGCACTTGACAATTTTTAATTTTACCGGTATGGAAGAACTTCCGATTTGTTGCTGAGATTTTTATGACCGAGAGAATGCATCAAACTCCTTTTGCTTCACCATCAACAAGCTTTTGGTGTGCCTGATCGGTCGGATTATAATCAATCTTCGAAATCTTTTAAAGGGCTTTCTGGACCTCTTCCTTCTGATGTTGCTACGGAGTTAAACAATGTCCTTAGTAATCCCACAGGTGCTAATTAAGAATCAATTAGTGGTGTTAAAACTTGGTTCATGCCTCGGTCTTCTTTTGCTCCCATGATATTTTGCATAGATGATTCTGAGAAGCAACTTCATATAATATACTTTTTCAGTGACATTTTTTTAGAGGTACACACCATCGTATGACTGCTTCTATTACTGTTTTTTCAAATTTATGATTGCTCGGTTTAATGCAACTAGCATGCTGCAGAGTTCAGGATTGTGAAATGCATTGATAATCTTCAGGGAACTTCGTTTCCTGCTCACATTTAGTTGTCGAGTTTTTTTTGTTTGTTCTGATAGAAGTTCTACTCAATATGAATTGTGTCGACTAACTAATCTGATAGCAGTACCACAATATAATTATGTGAGATATATGAAAATTTTCCCCCATTAATCTGTCTTCCAAATTTTGCAGCATGATGCAAAGAATCGACATAATTGACCACGACAATGAAGCTCTAGCACTTAGACCAGTTTTAGGTTCACAACCCCTCAAATGAAGGAGGAAAGTCAGTTGAAATTACAAAAGTTTGGTACAGTTCTGGGCGTTCAAGGAGATCTATGATCAGGATACTATTGGTGCACTTGAGGATGAAATAATTAATGGGGTACCAGCTAGGACTTTGCCAGGGCTTCCAAAAGAGCTGCCCGCTTCAATAGATTCGGCTCCTGCTAGGCCACTCTCTCCTGTTTTACAGCTTTTTATGCATTCGCTTCTGTTCTCATTGCAGGTTATTATGCTGAGAAATGATATTTTCTAGTAAAATGGGAAATGATCTTTGTTAAACTTCTTTTTGGCGTGCAGGATTGACACAACATTCAAATAGCCATACCGTGCACCAGTGGCAACCTGACAGGCTAAAGTGCCGTTCCAAGTTTTCCCGATCCAGAACACCTCGATAAGCCTATCACCCTGGGCCAAGCACTGTCAAGATCCATTACACCACAGCAATTTTTACCAAATACAATACCCGCTGCTGCCTGCTTTTGTAAACTCCATGCCTTTGCCAATTTCTGTTCATTAACGCCACCACAGCTTGCTGCTGTGGGTGAAAATTTGCCACCATATCCTTTGTTCCCTCCTGGTATTATTCCTGGAATGGTGAGGAAGATGCATATTGGAAGTGGGGTCCCATACTCTCCCATGAGCCCTCTGGATATTCCAACTATAATTCCTCCATCCAATATATCTCCCTCAGAAGTTCTTGAGAGAGAGTCTAAGTTCTTTAAAGAGATTGGAGAGGTTAATCCCTCGTAAGGACCCATGAGTTCTGATACCAAATTTACTCAAATTTACAATTATGAGCATGAGAGAGAACCGCCAGTATGCAAGGGTGGAGCTTGAGTTCCTCCTCCCAACCTTCTGGTTGATCCAGAGACTGGTGCTTACGCTGACGGGAGTGTAAATCGGGAAGGTTAAGACTTGGAGCAACACTCAATCCAAATGGGAATAGTCAATATGATGATGTTTATACTTCTTATAGGAAGCAAAGAGATTCCACTTACCATTCCTCTATGAGTGTTAGGGCAACAACAAAGTGAAAAAAGAACCGTTGAACTCATTACTAGGAGTGACCATAGTTTGGAACATGTAACATACCAGCCTTTTTCTGTTTACTTCTAAGTTTTGCTGGATTTCGAGAAATTTGACCATTTTTAGGTCATTAGCACTGAACTTGCTCAGTTGAATTGTATATTTAGTTCTAATCTTAAGAATCACTTTCCAGGCGGATAAACACTATGAAATGAGGCTTGCTTTTTTTGACTGATTTCTTTGGTTCATTGAATAGTGAATTTCGTCTTGTGCCCAAATGTTATACAACATTTTACTGACTCAATTATATGGAAATTTCTCCTTGCAGCATATTTCTTTTGGGTACTTCATGGAACTCACAAGGATGTCTTATTTGGCAAAAGCAAATTCAAAGTAACATTTCCTTACCTTACCTTCACTCTCACACATTTGTATCTGTTCATAAATTTCCATTTTTTCTTTTTTTAAGAAACGAGAAGTGTACTAAACCCAAAAAAGAAGCAAACAACCGTGGGTAGAGAAAATCCCCGCCCAAAGAACTACATAAGCAAAGCCTTGCAATTGTTCCTTGTCACATATTTCTTAGGTTCATAGCTAAATTTACGAAAATGTTAGAGAGATATGATGCGAATGTGACATTTTGGTCTAAAATGTTAATCATCTCAGTTTCTCTAGAGCTTTTATTGTCAAATCATACTTCTCTTACTTCTCATAAACAACATTTGTACCGACATTTGTTTTGCGAAGACGAACGTCGACGTCAAATGTCTATTAAATGCTGTTTCAAATATGGAATGTTGATTTTGATGTATCGCAGATTTCAAAAAAGGCAGTGTGAAGATCTTCACAAGTACAAATAGATCATGTAGCCGACAGAAGAATAGTTTGGAAGAAACCTCCAAGTTCACTTTCAATGCCCAAAGTGAATGCCTGTCTACTGAGATTCCAAGCCCATTGCCATTGGACTCTTTCAAGATTTCTATATTGAGCTTTGTAAAGTTCCCTCGGGACAGTCTTATGGGAAAAAGGCTTTCCAATTCCTCACCATTTTTGTTCACTCCAAGGCAAGAATCAGATGGTAACAATTTTCCACTCCATTCTCTGTTCTGCTGTGTATTTTAACCTTTTTCCTGAATCAAATAGGTATTGGACATATCTACTCCCTTATTTGAATTTAAAAAGAAAAATATAATCTTTTTAATGTTTATTTTGATTTTTCTTTTAATACCCCAGAGATGAGATGAGGGTGGATAATATAAAGTTGATGAAATTTTTTTTAGTACACCAAATTGAGCATACAGAGTTTGAACTTTCGACAACAAGGGAAGGCGCGAGGGCTAGAAAAATCAGTGTAAAATGTATATTGCACGTATGTTCTATTAAAATTTTTTTATCCATTTTTGTTATTGTATTATTTTTTTAATATAATAAATTGGAGATATGGGAGTTTGAATATTCAATATCAATAAAAGGATAATGTATAAATTATTGCTAAACTATGCTTATGTTGACATCTTAATTGTTTTATATGATTGTTCTACTACACCATATCAAAATATCACTCGACAATTTTATCATTATGTTATATCAACATTTAAATTAAAGTATGAACTAGCAAGTTCGTATACATCATTAAAACATTTTAAAAATTTCATCATAGCATAATTTAGTAGTTATCGCTACAACATGTGCTATTCAGTAGTTATTTGTTACAACCTTAAATATTAAACTAGAAAATGAAGGGTTCAAATACCACCTACTAACTCAAAATTTTGTGTATATGAAATTCATAGCATAATTAGTAGTTATCAGTCTTCTATATTCCAATATATTTGGAGCCAAATATCTTTTACAAATGCCCAAAAAAAAAAAACACTAATTTTGGGGCCAAACATGTGTATGGGATTCATGTGGTCGTGTTGGGAACGACGGCCGACTTCATTTCGCCCCCCCCCCAAAAGCACGTGCTAGTCACGTGCGTACCTCTATTGACTAGGCCGATTTTAGCCCCCGCCCTAAATTATTAATTATTTACCCATAAATGCCTTGCAAAACACAAATTATTCAAGCAGGAAGGTTTAAATAAAAACTACCAAATCCCCGTAATATTTTACTTTTGGTTAATTTATAAATTTGATCATTGGAATGTCTAACAACTTCTACAAATTTTAAAAATATTTACCCATTCATTAAACTTTCAATGTTGAAGTTTAAAAATTTGTCTAATATATTTTTGAACTTTTAATTTTAATTTTAGAGATGTATTAGACACGAGATTACTTTTGTAATTTAACGAGTTCGGTGAGAAATATATTATGTTAGGTTACATAAGAGTATTGGAATGCACAATGAAGCAAAAACATTGTTATGTTTAAAAATTTTCGTAATTAGAGGAAAAGATGCACCTTTTGAAGTTTGTGTTGAAACTTGGATAATTGGTTAGTGGATTTTAGAATATTGGATGCTAGCTCTCTTGTTTTTATTCCCTCTCTTCTTATAATAAATAACTTTTTTTTTGGTTGAGGAGGGATAATACGCATAGGATGTGGCTCTCTAAACACGTGTTCGAGACTCAACTCGAATTTGTTAATACTGTCGAAAGACGATTTCTCGATTCCGACTGGTACAAAGCGAGGTCAATGTTCCCCAGGCTTCCTTATAGAAGGTGGAGTCCCCTCCTTACAAAAGACGCATTCTCTACGCAATCTTACTAAGCTCGGCTCGGTACTAGCTTAAGTTTCAAAACGTACGTGGCAGAACACCAAATCAGTGTGTTTGATTGCAAAAATGGATCGTCTCGCAAGGCTCATACTAAAGAGGCTGACAAAAGCTTAAAACTTGTGCTGAGAGGAAGATGATTCGACGATCAAGTGAGTCTAAGTCCAATCTATTACTCAGAGAGGAATAGTATCATGTTCCTAAAATATGGAGCGAATCTCTCTATTTATAGGCATTAGTTCGCGACTCCAACTTGCAACCCTACAAGTTGTTATAGAGTTCGCAGTGTGTTGTCGAAAAAACGGTTAAGAGCAATAAGACGCGACATCATGATCATCGGCTCGTCCTTTACCAAGTTCAGACATTGAAATGTTGGCTCAACCTTTGCGAAGGCACACACAACCATCTAATGTATTTGTCAGCTAAGGCAGGAGATGGTCAAGCTTCTTCATTGTATCTTTAGACTTATGCTATAAGTTTCTATATGTTGGCGTGACACTTCGTCCTATAGTTCATTAACACATGACAATCACAAAATTGCTTCCAACACAATGCAGGTCTTAAGTCATCAGCTCAACTTAATCGAAACTCACCTCAATTCGTGCACTAACGTGTCAACTCATTCGGAAACCTACATTTAATAGATGACAATTTATATATTTTGAAGGCTTCAAACCAAATTTTTTTATCTTTAATATAAGAGTCTATATCTAGTCACCTTCTTCCATGTGTTTTTTTTTTCCTTCTTAAAGAAACTTGTCATGTGTCCTCAGCACATGAACAAACTTGTCTATCAGCTTCAAATATTATGATTTTTCTTTTTCAAATACATTCCCTTTTTCAATCTCTCGTCTCTTTTTGATAATTGATTGGACGGGAGCGGCCTATAATAACAAATAATGATTTTAAATAAAGAAAAAATGGACTTTATAAATTTTGACAATTTGGAATTATATTCTAAAGAAGTTTTTGATTCTCACTTCTTAAATGAAGGATACCTTCCTTGAAATTCAAGAATTTATCTTCAAATTAATTGGGATTTACCAACTTTTTTTAATAATATTTTAAAGTAAGATTAAGTATTTTGAGTTAAAAAAAAAGATTAAGCATTGTGAGTTCCAAACAAAAGGTTATTTTTCCTTTTCTATAGTTTCAATATCGATGCATCCGCAACTTGTTTCGATAGGGGAAGTCGAGAATTAAGGATGATTCTATGAAAAATATTTAAGTGCTTAACAATTATGAGTCAACGTCTATCTTTTACTTACCATCATTATTATTCTTTTTTTGTGAGTGATCAACACAAAAATATGTATTGAGTAATAAACATCTTAAATATTGTTCCAAATCTATGTTTTATTCTGTCAATAACTTGCCAGAGATCTATATATATATATGTAGTTCGAGTTAGAGAAAATATAAAAGAAACCGTCCATTTAGTGATTTTGACAAATCTAGGCATGTTTTATACAAAACTATAACAACATCTCAAAAAACTTATTATATATAATATCTCGATATAACCGTGATAAAAAATGAGATAAAAATTAAAACAAGTGAACCAAAATTAGTAATTTAACCATACATAAATTAATTAAAACTACTAAAACCAAAATGGAATATAAACCATATACATATAATATAGGTAAATAACATAACTATTCCAAACAATTTTACGTTATTACTCTCAATCTCACAGATTTCATCTAAATTATATGTTGGTACACAACATCGAACCAAACGCACCTATACACTAACAATACAGCTAAAAATCAACGATAACTATACAAAAAAATAATAACTATTATTATTATAATAACAATAAACTACAATAAACATTAGAAATACAATGGGGAGACATAGATCCATAAAAAGCCTCTCATTGAGTATGTCCAGCTAAGAGTTGGGTGATAGTGTACCATCCAACATTATGTGCATGTCTTTCATCACATGTTCTCAAAAGTACACTGATCTCATATCTCACATACTACACTTTCTAGACAAAATTGCTCAAACCCAGCCCATTCACAGATAATATTTAACTTCATTAATTATTAATTAATGTCGTTTCATTTAATTTCGTGGAATTCTAACATAAGCTTAGTTCAGTGGTCAAGGCACCTAACTCCTTCCTTCGAGGTTGGAGGTTTGATTCTCCATCCCCGCAATTGCTGCTCTAGAAATACCGTTTCATGTAATACTCAAAAGAATAAGCTTTTTTTTACCCACCATAGCTTTGCTTAGATGTCGTAAGGTTGAATCAAGAATGTTCTTTTAAAATGTGGAATTTATAAGCTGTTAGGTCTATTTTTGTGTTGCTTTGTCTTATTATTTGTAGGGTACTACTTGTATATATAACAATCTAGCTTATGAGAATAACAAATGTAGCACACATTAAAAAAATTGCAGGTATGACACAATTTTGATATACCCACATAGAGGAGTAGTAGATGAATGAATAGACATCGTATCTGAATGAAAGAGATCTTGAGATCATGCATCATAGTTATGAAAGACTCGTTGATAGTAATTACCTATACCAACTAGATAGATATTTCTTTTGGTAGCTCAATCATATTGTTGATGCAAGATCGAGCCGAGGTACGGAAGGTGGTCTAGGGGTCAGCTGACTGCACTTAGACGATTTTCCAAGGTACCTGCAAAGAGGTATCCACCCCAACGCCCAAGTCAGTATTCTAGCCGAGCTCGACAGGTAAGCATCAGACATAATTTTTTCATACTTGGGCTCGTGGATGAATGGTGTATTTATAGCAGTAGCTGGAGTAGATGTACATCCCATCGGTAAATTTCACTGCTCGGACAGGGGCCCATCGAGCGACTGTCGATCCTTAACGGCGACCGGTCTGTCTCCTGTTCTGGAGGATGAGGCTTGGTGGTATCCTTATTCGTCAAAGTTGTTGAGGCTGATCTGCCAGGTCGGCCCTTCTAGTCTTGCTACATCCAAGTCGACTTTGCGCGATTAACCCCCAACACATATGATCGACTTCAAGGTTAAGCATGCTTGGTTAAGCTAATTTTAGATTGGCTTCAACTCTTCCTAGAATCTTACAGAAATGTTTGGGCCACCAGATGCTTGATCCGGATTCCGAATCCTAGACTTAAAAGGTAAGTATTTGAACTTCGAAAACCTTTTTAACTTGATATCTTCCCTTACCAATTTTGTAATTTTATATTCTAAGAAAAATAATATTAATGATAATTACTTTATTTTCAATCATATTTTAGAGTATTTAAAATTTTCATTTAAAGCTAACTTCAACATAGAATTAAAGTATATATCCTATCAAAATATCATAGGTTTGAATCACATCCCCACCTATTGTAATAAAAAAAATCATTTTAAATACCTTATTTTTATATTTTTATTAAAGGAAAAAAAAAGAAAGAAAGGGACCACCCTAAACAATAAATAAGTAAATAATAACGGTCCAACTGATAACAAGATGACCTTCAGGTCCAATGAATCATCTCAATTCTTAATTTCTAATAGACGGAGAAAAAATATTTAAAAAGAAAAACAATTGGATTAAATTAATTAAATCTTGTTGCGAATTACAAGACAGTGCTATAAAATAAAGAAAACAGTGGAAGGGGAGAGAGACTTAATTGATGCTCAATTGGTAAAGTTTGTTTAAAACTTCCAAATATGCCTGCCAGCTAAGCACATCCACATAATTAACTTTATCAACAATTAATTTCTAATTGTAAACCTCAATTAAAACAAAATTGTTATTTGCTTCTAAAAAGAGAAAAAAGAGATTTCTGCTCATCGTGACTCAATGGATTAAGACATCTATGTCTTATTAAAAGTTCATGAATTTGAATCTCCTAATAAGAAATAAAAGATGATAGATTCTTTTATAAGAAATAAAAGATGATAGATTTGGATGAAGTGTATTATATTATATGATTATAGGCTAAATATATAGCTAGTACCTCATATTTATTATTTATGGCAATTTTCAATATTATCCATTTTCAATATTATTATTTTAATTTCAGTTGTATTTTAATGTGTAATCTAATGTAAAAAAATATTACACTATGATATCATGAAATTAAAGATGGGATGATTGGTAATGTTAGTAGTTGTCTTTCTCTACTTAATCCGATTGTCTCTCACTATTTGTTTCGTGGCTTTCTTTTTCATTTAATCCCTCTATTTATAAAAAGTTATTTTATTCAAACAAAGACAGATAAAAATATGAGAATTTTAAGTCACGTATGAGTTTTTTAACTCAATAATTATAAAGATGATGAATCAAGTCAATTGATATTCGAGATGATAATGGGTTGAGCTGCCAAAATAATTCTAAACGAAAAATAAAAATGTAACCAAATCATTCCTAATTCTTCAAAAAAATAATAACAACAATAAAAATTTCATTTTTTTCACAGCACTAAAAGGACTAAAATACCCTTAAATAACTATGGTTGCTTCCGCCCCGGGAGTGAAACGCCGTTCCTGCCGACTGGGACTTAAAAGTCAAATTTAGTTTTGTACTTTTTCTTGACAAAGTTTTCTTACTATATTTAGCGTTTATAATTTACTAATTGAAATAATATTCCGTTAATTCCGTACGGTAAACAAAAACCAAAGGCTGAAAAGGGAAGAACGAGGGGGAGTCTTATCATTTTTATTTAGTGAAAATTGATAGCATTAATTTATTTCAATTTTGTCTGTTTAAATCTCTGTTTGAATAAGATTCAAATCCACAATGAGAGATATATGATGAGTTGGATTATGCTCAGTTGATAAATTTATTGTATTTTTTTCTATAAATTTTTAAAATATTTTTTTTGATAATAATAAATTCTCAAAATATTTATCTAAAATCTTTTGAAAAATGATAGGTTTGGTTCTAAATTTTTAAAACTATGTTTAATAGACTTTTTATTTTTTTTCCTATAAAATTTCAAAATATTTATCTTAAATCTTTTTGACAAATTATACATCTCATCGTAAAACTTTCAAAAGTATATTGAATAGACCTCTTAACTTTAAATAAGTTTCTAGACCATCTCTTTGAATTTAAAAAGTATCTAACGTGTCACTATATGATTATTTGGAATTTCAATTTTTTATTTAATAATGACTTATGAGACACTTTTTAAAGTTTAATATCTTATATCGATGTGTTTGGAAGGGCAAACTCTCCCACCCATACCGATATCTCCCAAGTTAGATCTACTTTGCAGGATCGATTGACTCTCACCTCTAGACGGCTGGTATAAAATCAACATTGATGCAACTTTGAACCACAACTTACTTGTCTGGTTGAGAGCAGTCATTAAAGATTGCAACAGACAAGTTTAGAGACTAATTAGATATTTTGAAAGTTGACTAACTTATCAAATGTAACCTTTGAAATTTATGAGTCAAACTTATCATTAAACCTCGTTTTATATTAAAAAATAATAAAATTGTACTTTAATGAAAAAATATTAGTTTAATTATTATTATTATTCTACCCATATATCTTTTTTTAATAAAACAACACGTTGGGTGAGAATTCGAATTTTACGACCTTGTAGTTGAATATAGTATCTTAGTTTGAACTACTTTCAGGTTGGCATATTATTCGATACTTTTAGTATTTTTTTTTATTTGATCTATAATCTTGAACTTTGAATTCCAAATAAGATAATAGGTTTCAAATCTGCAAATTGAAATAGGTTTATAGAAGTCTCACATATGATCATAGAAGGTAGATATAAAGTTTGATGAATTTCATCTCACGTGTGTAAGTAAATAATTTGAAGAAATAAATTAAATATTTTTTAGCAGTCTGACGTGGGTAAACAAATTAAATGATGCGCGGTGGGAGAGAGAGAGAGAAATCCAAATCGCCGCCATGATCCATCTCGACCGAGACACCCCTTTTTGACAGTTGGGTTCTTCACATTCCGTAAAATCCGAAAATTAGAGGAAAAAAAAATACTTCGCTCAACGTTAAATAATTGACAATTTTTATTAATTTTTATAAAATGTATTTTTTATTTCTCTCGCTTCATTATCAAATATTTAATAGGGTGAGTAAATCGAACTCACAGTCTTTTAATTATCAATTATTGTTGAACTATACTAACAAAATTGCTGGTTATTATTAAAGATCTAAGTATTTCTTGGAATTTAATTTTTTAATATTGATGGGCTCCAATACTCCACGTCATTTTATGTAGCATACAATAAATAAACGACGGTATAGGAAATTACACTAATATCCATTACAAAAGAAACAAGCTTGCGTAGAAAATTTGTACATTTAAAATGTAGACAAATTTTACTCGTCAAGGAAAAATTATAGTACTACTTGAGTAGTATAATATTAGTGGATTCTACGTCATTTTTAATATGACGATGTGACGTAGCAGTAAATGAAATGAGTATCCTACTAAAGTATTAAAATTTTCTCCCCATTATTATCCTATCTATGGCTACTATCCTCCCTATTTCAACTGGGCGAGTAAGTCGGGTCGGATTGGGTTGGGTTTTATATATACATGACACATCCTATTCTTCTGGTCAATTTTCATTCTCTTCTCCCCACTGTCGCATATTAATAATAAATTTATTGACATATTTTATGTAATTAGTTCTGTATCTTTGTTATCTTATCATAGTATATACATACTATACATTATATTATAAAAAGATAAAATGAATTTATAATTTCCATTTTGAAATCTGAAAATGCTAAAAACATCAAGGAAAAAAAAAGTTATTTTTTTACAATTTCTGCTATTTGAACCACAAAATTCACAAACGATTGAAAAAAAAGAAAAAGAAATCTACTGAATCATACGGTTTAATTTCTAGAGCTGTTTTGTGTTTGTGTTTGTGTTTGTATTACGTGACGAACAGAATACCCCACATGAAGCTTCAGATACCTTTCCTCATAATGTGGTTTTTTTGGCCATGTTGTATTCTATGAACCTCTCACTCTTCCCTTCTTATTCTTCTTCTTTTATGCGGCATTGATTCTCTGTTAATGGAATAGCCATCGATTGAAGTTTTTCTGAGGGTTCTTCTTCGCGGGGGATTCGATTTTGGAATGGGGGTTTCTTCTCCAAGGATCCTGGCCATGGAGCTTCGTCGTCGGCTGTAATTTTTTGTTTTATTTATTTTTGTTTAATCTTGGAGATTCAGTTTTGTTTGTGCTGCGTGATTAGAAAATGGCGCCTAGATTGGGGTTTTTGAGCTGGTGGGGGAAAGAGAAAGACCCCCAAAAGGGAACTCCGGTGGTGGTGACGATGGAGAAGCCCAACTTCTCCGTCGTGGAGATCGACGGCGCCGACGCCGCATTCCGGCCGGTGGAGAAAAGTAGAGGCAGGAATGCGAAACAAGTCACGTGGGTTCTTCTTCTCAGGGCCAATCGAGCTGTCGGTTGCATAACTTGGGTCGCTACAGTTCTCTGGGCATTGCTGGGGACAATCAAGAAGAGGCTGATCTACAGGCAAGGAGTCGCCATTGAAAGCGGGAAGTTGGGAGCAGGGAAGTTACTGTTTGGAGTTATTAGAGCTTTCTTAGTAACTTCCATGGTGATTCTTGCCTTTGAAATGCTTGCTTATTTCAAAGGGTGGCATTATTTTCAGAATTCCAATCTGCACATTCCTCAGGCTTCTGAGTTACAAGGATTTCTCCATTATCTCTATGTTACATGGTTAACTTGTAGAGCAGATTATGTTGCTCCACTTATTCAAACACTTTCTAAATTCTGCATTGTTCTGTTCCTTATCCAATCCTTGGATCGGATGATCCTTTGTTTTGGATGCCTATGGATAAAGTTCAGGAGGATTGAACCCAAGATTGAAGGGAATCCCTTCAAGTCTGATGATGTGGAGGGAGCCCGGGACAAGTATCCTATGGTTCTTATTCAAATTCCAATGTGCAACGAGCGAGAGGTATGCTGTTTTTCGATCTAACGAAAGGGTACTTCATAGTTGTTTAAGCTTTGGTTGATAACGATTTCGTTTTTAGTCTTTTGTTTTTAGAAACCATGCTTTCTTCTTCACAACTTCTTTAATATGTTTTTGACCTTTCTTTAAAATAGATTTAAATTATTACAAACTACTTTTTTAATTTTCAGAATCTAAGCCAGAAACATGTAGGTAGAAGTACCGTTGATAAGATTAATTTTGAAAAATAATTATAATACATGGTGTTATTTTGTTGAAGTCGGTTTTATAAGTTATATCTATATGTTTGAGTAACCATAATAACGAGCAGTTGTAGTTTCAAATAATATGATTTGATTCCAAATGCAACTGGTTTTCAACCATTTCAAGATGCAGGTTTATGAGCAGTCTATCTCTGCAGTCTGTCAGATTGATTGGCCAAAGGACCATTTATTGATTCAAGTTCTTGATGATTCTGATGATGAGAGCATCCAACAGTTAATTAAGGCAGAGGTTGCTGAATGGAGTCAAAAGGGTGTCAACATAATCTATCGCCATCGATTAATAAGAACCGGATACAAAGCCGGGAATCTCAAGTCTGCAATGAGTTGTGATTATGTTAGAGACTATGAGTTTGTTGCGATTTTTGATGCCGACTTTCAACCAAATCCAGATTTTCTTAAACTGACAGTCCCCCATTTCAAGGTGGAGACAACCGAAAACAGGATGCTTTTTTTTTTCCTTCTCTGTTCTGTCTTTGAAATGTTTGTTGATTTTCCTGCCCCTTCCGTCTTCTTGCAGGACAACCCGGAGCTAGGTTTGGTTCAAGCTAGATGGTCTTTTGTGAACAAGGACGAAAACTTGTTAACGCGTCTCCAAAACATTAACTTGTGTTTCCACTTTGAGGTGGAACAGCAGGTTAACAGCGTGTTCCTTAATTTCTTCGGCTTCAATGGCACTGCTGGTGTTTGGAGAATTAAAGCCCTCGAGGAGTCCGGAGGGTGGCTTGAAAGAACGACCGTAGAGGATATGGACATAGCTGTGAGAGCCCATCTTAATGGCTGGAAATTTACATTTCTTAACGACGTTAAGGTAATCGAATAGGTTGCTTCATTAGCTTGAAGAAACCATGATGTCAGCTTGATTTGTCTAAGTATCTATCCATCTTGTTAGATAACAAATTGAAGAATAACTTCAATGATCAAAAGCCAATCCGAATTAATATCGTTGAACATGCTTGTTTCCATTTAATCTAAACTTTCAAAACGTTTTGAATGTAAAACTCAGGTCCTTTGTGAAATTCCTGAGTCCTACGAAGCTTACAGGAAGCAGCAACATCGTTGGCATTCTGGTCCTATGCAACTATTCAGGTTGTGTCTTCCAGCAATCATAAGTTCTAAGGTATCATCTTATGTCCGGCTTCTGTTATTTTAACTATTAGTCGCCTCCTCGTTGCATCACACTGAAGAAAACAGCTCGAATCTTTCTGCAATGCAGGTATCAGTATGGAAAAAGGCAAATTTGATACTGTTGTTTTTTCTATTAAGGAAGCTCATCCTTCCCTTTTATTCCTTCACTTTGTTCTGCATAATTCTTCCCCTAACCATGTTTGTCCCAGAAGCCGAGCTTCCTATATGGGTCATCTGTTATGTGCCCGTTTTCATGTCGTTACTCAACATTCTTCCATCCCCAAAATCTGTTCCTTTTATCGTTCCCTACCTTTTATTTGAGAACACTATGTCCGTCACCAAATTCAACGCCATGGTATCTGGCTTATTCCAGTTGGGTAGCTCTTATGAATGGATTGTAACTAAAAAGGCTGGCAGGTCCTCCGAATCGGACTTACTGGCTGCTGCTGAAATGGACTCTAAGATAATGAATCAAGCACAGATCTATAGAGGCGCTTCCGAGAGTGAGCTCTCAGAGCTGAGCCACTTAAAGGAACCTAGAGGAGTAGCTGCATCACCTGTCAAAAAAGTTAACAAGATATATCGGAAAGAGTTGGCACTTGCGTTTCTTTTACTTTTAGCTTCAATTAGGAGTCTCTTGGCTGCACAAGGAGTTCATTTCTACTTCTTGATGTTCCAAGGTGTAACCTTCCTCCTTGTAGGTCTTGATCTAATTGGAGAGCAAATGAGCTGACTACACACAAAAATGAGAATCTATGATCAAGGTGGATAAACAACATTTTCTTGTGCTGTAGCAGCAAAGTTGTGTTTGTGCATTATATAGTCTGTCCCCCCAAGGGGAAACCCGACCGCGAGTTCAATAAAAAGATCGATATCAAAGTCTTCAAAAGAACACCTGCTTTTGGTGATCACCCCTCATCATACTCACCACCTTCATTCTTCCCTCATATACTCATAAAGCATATGTGATTTGTAATCATTCATAAGCTTCCTCAGCTGTTTAGTGTTTGTTATGCAAATAAGTTATTTATTATCCCACAGCCTCCATAATTCTTTCTTGGGTGTAGTTTTGGCTCTTCCAAGACTCTGTGGTCGTGCACAGGCAACCAAATCAAATGATCGGTTCGAATCAAGCCTGCCACCATCCGCCTTCATTGTAGCTTTCTGGTTTTCGTGACATGTAAGACGACTCAACTTCTCTGTAAATGTACTGTTTTATCCAATCTAATATATATCCTATTTTCTTCTTACTTCAATGATGTCCTTTTTTAATCTTCTGCAATTTACTTGTACTGTAATTCAAAGTGTAAAGGTAGTGTCGGCAGGCAAAGTTGATTAGAAGAAGGATGAATGTTTTGGGTGGCTAAGATTGTTGGTTCAGATGCCTTTTCAAACCTCATTAGAGGGCTACAGAAATTTTTTTGGTGGGGCCAGGATCTGGTGTGGGCATATGCTGATTTTTTTTTTTTATTTTATAAATAATTTTGTTTTTGATTGGGTTGATGTGGATAGTGCTTGGTACTGCTATTGCCACTGGTTGGTGGCATGATTAATGACAAATTTGCCCATTATTTTCTTGACTTGTCATGTATGGCCCTTTTTATTTAAAGATTTGTCTTAGCCTTCCTCACCTATATCTATGGATTTCTATGATTAGACATACTTAGTCATGACCCACGTCTCTTGCACGTTTTCAAGTTGGCAAGTTGGACACAAACTGAATTTTCAACCTGAAAAGGTTTCTCTCTCTCTAAGAGATGTGAGAAGCAAACCGTAATCTGGGGAAACTCTCTTATGGCGTATTCGAGAGTAGAGTGTCGTTTCAATATCGTAATAGCATTTTCAGCTACTTAAAAGAACACTTCTCGATTCTTTTTCACTTGTGGCACGAGGCCTTCTATGACGTAATGAATCAGTATTAGCAGAATATATTTCCTCTATCTGGTTTAGGTTTGATCGAGTGCAAAATACCCCTAACAAGTAATATTTTGTCTGTATTGTGCATGTTATGAATTCAGAATCAAATCAATCAAGACCTCTGGTAATTTACTTTTGAGTTCCAATATCAGAGATTCAGAATACAAAGAGTTAGTAATGAATGAATGAAAGGTAATAATAATGTACAAGTCAATTTCTTATTATGGTACAGTTGGAGCGTTTAGTTTCTAAGATGGATCTTGTCTTGAACTGGTTTATGACAAGTTAATCATCTGGTTCTTCTGAAAAGTCTGGCTCATCGGGCTTTCGCAGCTTCGATAATTCGACATCCTTCAGTTTTTGTGCTCCTCTGCGTGTGTTTGCAGCAAACCTTGAAGCCAATATTGTGACGCCAAGGTTTTGTTTTGCTTGAGAGTATTTGGAACGTGGAATGTTATGTTCTTCCTCTTCTTGTTCGGCTTCTTCGGCCGCTGGCTTCTTGGGAGTCAACGAGAAAGACTCCTGCATGCTGAGTGACTTTGCTATGACCCTCCTTTTGAAGCGACGCCATGCTGCCTGAATGAAGCAAGCAGCCCACGTTCTCCAGTGATACGAATAAAACCGAAAAGTATGTTGAAGCTTCTTGCTATGGAGACGTCGAAACTGGTTAGCGACAAATTTGAGATCCTCTGCCCGCAGGGCAAAGGCTTCAACTTCCGTGATTGCTCTAACTGTTCTAGTAGAAGATGGCAAGCTGATTGATGACTTTGGAAGCAGTGCCCAAGCAAGAAGCTCTTCCCCACAAAAATCCCCGGGTCTTAAGGTTATCGAATTGAAGAAACCCGACCGTCCTCCATCTGTTGTGGAGCTCTCAAGCATCCCTCGGATGATAAAAAGCATCTCAGTAACGGGATCTCCTTCACGAACAATGTAAGTACCTTGTGTACATAAAGACGATGCCAACCGCTCGCAGATCGCGTCAAGTAGCTGATCATCCATTTGTGCGAAAAATGGAACCTGGCATTTGGGAAATCAAGAAAGTTTGATTACAGAACTTTCAGACTTGTTGATGAGAAGGTTACCACAAGAAGAGTATCTTCAATGTTTTTGTACTGAAATATTAGTCAGAACAAGCTGGATGAGCCTAATTTCCAAGTGAAGTCACTTTATATGCCAGCTTTATTTAGGAAAAAGAGAGCAGTTAAAAGCAATTTTATTCTATAAACATATCTTCACAACAATTTTCAGTAGAGATACAAATAACAATAAGAACATCACTTACTCGTCGAACGAGATCGAGGCAGAGGTGACGCTGGATATCTCGACGAAGATCTGTTGGAAGGCCTTGTAAGATCGACTCTTCGTCAACTCCTCGTGTTGCAAGCCACTTATATTGAACAAATCTCCTCACACGTTCTTGCAAATCTTGAGGGAGCTGTCGGTGTTTCATCCATTCCTCGGTATCACGGCGCTTGACCCTGCACTCCTCCAATCTCACAGTGATGGATTGCAAATAGGTCTGCGCTATAACACAAGTTACATGTGTAGAAGCATGACAAAGATCACCATAAATTGATATCTTCACTTTTCAAATAATTGCCTTCCCAAATGATGGGAATTAGTCTAGCGAACGGCCATGAACTTAAGCATTGAACGTAAGATGAGTTTCGGTCTATCATTCAAAATTTGACAGTCCATTGTTGTTGTGATTGTGTTTACCATCAACTATGAGCAAAATACAGAAGCAAAGGAAAAAGAATTCAAGTATGCAAGAAGAATTTTCTACGTTGAACACAGTGATCGAAAAACGACGAGTGCAAAACACTTTCGAACGTACCTGCATATTTCCGATCAAATGCGCAAACAAGACCAAACCCATTATAGCAATGAGGATAGCAAATAAAGTTTCTCCAATGAAGGTGGTTGTGTCCAAACCCTGACCATATGAACTGGAAAATTCATAAATGAAACATGTTAAACTTGAGAGAGAGTATTCTGAGAAGCAAAGACAACGCGAGTTCTCAACAAATATACCTCAAGTTCTGCAAGCCCCACCATAGACAATAGAAATACTTCTGAAGGAACTTGGAGGATATGACATTTTTCGAGATCGCATCTGCAAATATCCCGTAATTGAAAACGTTTTCTTCATCTGGAGAACATTGGCTAAATACAGTAGTATTTAGTTCCCATATCCTGCGATCTACATAATCTAGAGTACCACAATCCAGATAGTCAAGAAGACATTTCACAGGACTTAATTCCCTCCTGCAGGTCAACTTCCAGCACATGGCATGGCGCTCCACCGACAGTAAGTACCACGCTGCTCCTAAGATCTATGTGAACAAAAAAAACTTTAAACAGGTTGCCTTCGAAGTATATTTGGAACGTAAAAAACGAGCAACAAGACGAAGGGAACTCGAATGTTGTACATACATGACTAGCTAGCATATACAATACAAGGTTATATGCAGCCCCTGCCCAAGCAGTCTTGGTGACAACACCAGTAGTTTTGATAATGTGGGAGCTTAATGGGAAAATGAGGTAGAATCTTGGAATATACTGAAGCAAGACTATCAACACAAGAGTATTGTTTGTATGGTCCGCATGAGAGCTTCTAATTGCTGGCATGATAAACCATATCATAATCTGTCAAGAAAGAAAGAAAGAAAATTCAACAAAAGGGTACCATCATCTTTGACCTCAGTTAAGATATATTTTGTTTTTCTCGATTTGATCCTTATTGTTTAAAAAGCTTCAATTCACCTTTTAACATCTTTCAATTATACTTTTTCCATTTATAAATGTTAAAATAGGAGAGACTAAATTGAAAGTTTTTAAATAACGGGGATTAATGTATAGAAAATATAGAAAAATATAGCATCAGATGAACCAGCTGCAGTACAGCTCACACACAAATCTGGGCCTACATGAAAGGAACTGCAAATCTCAAACTCAAAGCCAATCATATTGGGACAGACCGAAACAGAAGGCAAGAAAATTGATTGGTAACAGTCTCAAACAGGTGATTGTCCAAGAAATAAAGGAACCATTTACATAATTGACGGAAAATAGGTACACAGCTTTAAAGCAAAGTTTAAAACATGAAGAGTTTAGAAGAACAGGTGACAAACAAATGTGTGAATGTGTGTTGTTGAGTACCTGGGGAAGAGGCAGAGAAGCAATGAGATCTATAAAGAAATCCGACTTTAAGTAGCGTTTTGCAATCATCTTTGGATCAGTGACGAGTTCACCTTTTCCAAAAACTCTTGAAATTGGTGATACATAAGCCATCCGGAATTTCAAAACCATGTGAAACAGATAGAACACATCGGCAAAAGTGCGAAAAACAGTCACAACAATTCCCAAGTTGAAATCAGTTGTCATACAAGATGATCTGTGATGGTGAATCACTGATGGAAGGTAGAAGAACAGTGGATCAACGAAAAGAGCTGTCAGGCAAGAGAAGAGGAAAACCCTGTTCCATCTCAGTATGGTTTCACTTTCTGGGTTAAGAATCCTCTTAAAAAATGGCCCACTGCTTTCCACGAAAATCTTGGACCTCCCTAAATCTGGATTGCCGTAGTTAATTTTAGTTTTATCCCCAACCCCAGCGTCTAATTTCGCTAACGGCGCAGTCCCAACTTTGAACACTGGCAATGGAAGATGAATGCGCCTCTTCGGATCGTTTTTCTCCCATGGGAGCTCTAGATTCTGGTTCTCATCGGAGTAAAACCTAAAGAATCGAAAACCCATCAAACAAAATCGCGCACACAGCGTTGGAAAGGAAGAACGAGAGAAGAATCTTAAAAGAAGATTAGATTACCGCACGAATTTCCCTTTCTTCAACTCCATGATTGTTCGTTCGTTCTCTCAAATGCATTCAGCCATAGAAGTTAAACCGAACAAGGAGCGAATCACATCAGTAAACAAAGAAATGGGTAGTGGATTTTGGTAGTTATGGCTGTGGAAAATCTTCAAGAAGAAGCAAAGCGAGCAAAAAATGTCACCGCGCAGCGGCTTACCGAATAACGAAAAGATTCACGCAAAAACTTTTGTGAGAAAACAGAGAGGATCCCGCAATCGAGGGGCTCAAATGGAGGCGAGAATCGAGATAATTGAGGATTTGTCTTATGCGGTTGACTTCCCACTAACAGCTGGAAGAAGAAGAAGAAGAAGAAGAACACAGCTCAGATTTGGAATCATATAAAATATTCAGTCTCTCAACTTGAGAGTTAAAGAGCGCATTGGAAAACGTGATGAGCATATAGGAGGGTGGAAATGAAGAGTGTAATCAGAAATCAGAAGAGGAATTTTGATTGGGATGATTTGAAATTGGCAGCAACAATTTTGTTTATCGGATGATTTCTCTTCAAATGCCAACTGCCAAGACGAGTTGCGGGAAGAAGCCATGGATGGGACCCAGTTGGTGCAGTTGCAGGCGGGAAGAAAGGGGTTTTTTTTTCATTAAAATATTATTTTGGTCCATTTATTTTATTTTAATTATGATACCTTTAAAATATTTATTTTTAGGTTTCTGTCATTTGATGAAAATATTACAGTTACTTTAATTCATTTTAATCGTGGTACTTTTAAAATGTTCATTTTGGTGAATATGTGGTTCTTTTTTTGGGAAAAAATTTAACATAAAATTTTACACAGGATAGAAATACTTTAATATAAACTTGTTGTTATATTTCAAGTAATATATTGAATATAGTGTAGTTGTTGAAATTGTGATATAAAAATGAGATTAAAAATAAATTTATGGGACCAAAATGTTCACTTTTAAAAATTATAGAGATCAAAACAAACATTTTGAGACTAGAGGTAGGTACATAAATGAACCAAAACTAAAAATACAAAGACTAATAATTTTAGAAAGTGATATTTTTAATAAATGTTGAAACTTTCACTTTTATATTTAATAGGTTTTAAAAACTTTAGTTTTGTATCTAATAAATCATCATGAATTTAATATCTTTTAAAATTTACAGACTCTTTGGACACAAAGTTTAACGGCAACATTTCATTTTTAAGTTTAATAGGTTTATGAATTAAAAAAAAAAAGAAAAAAGAAAAAAAAGTAAACCCAATTAGATGAAAGATTGAAAACCTAAAAGGCTATTAAACATCTTTTAAAATTCAAACACTTGCCAAAGTTAAAAAACTGGACTTATAATTTAGCGATTTGTTGATTTTAGGGTTGTTTAAATTTCATTTGGATGCGGATTTTGAATTTTGCCCTATTTTAGTCTCCAATTTCAAAACCAATCTTGACCAGTTTAATCTCAATTGCATGCTAAGAAAATTCAAAAGAAGTTTCAAAACCCATAAGAAATATTATTGAAATCATTCTTTCACTCTTTTCACAAGTGGAAATGGATTAGTGATCGACCAAAAAACATCCAAGAAGTGGATTCTTCTCAACACCTTGCATTGAAAATTGTTTTAAATTATTCGAAATAAAAATTAATGTCACAACTTTGGCACATGACCGAAGTAGAACTTAACCAATTAATTACCATATAGATCGATTACGAGTTTAAACTATGTATAATTTCATTTTTTTTGTTGTTCAAATTCTCACGTCCCAATTTCTTATACTAAAAAAATGGAGAGTTCATCTTTAAACCGAAGTATTTTTCAATTCTACTTAAAGAAATGGCATACAAATAAACATTGATGACTTTTATTTAACGTAAAATTTATGTTTATATGTGAAATAGAAGTCTAAACCTTTCGTCTCAGACAAATTCCAACTGTCAAGTCATTTAATTACAAGAAGACTGGTATTCATAAACTGACAACCGACCAAATCCATACCATGATTTACAATGAACTGAAACAGGGCCCACTCGTAATTGTCACATTTAATTTAGGCCTAATATATGCTTATCCCTTGGTATTTTATAAACTGAATCTCTATTATTTAAAAATTTTCAATTTAATTTTAATATTTTTAAATTAATCCCTCATCATTAGTAAATGGTATAATTGACAATGATAGATTTATATAACAAACATAACACTTGGTGAATTTGCAGAATTTAAAGGAGAAAAAAAATCATCCAAAATCCTAAGAAATTGGTAAAAATTTTGAACTTTCATCTCTTGAACCTCTTTTTGTCTTCAAAATTTCTACCAATATACTACATACTTGCATTCTTACGTGGTGAGAGATTAGGTAGATAATGTTAAAACATAAGAAAATTTTAATTAAAACCTTATAAAAATTAGAGACTAAATATTTGAAACTAAAACATGTCTTTAAATCTCACGACTCTCTTTTTTCCCAATTATTTTCTTTGCTTTTCCAAAATTGAGTGATTATTTGAGTATATTCCGTCTACACTACATTACATACAACCACTCTAAAATTATCTATTTACTCGTTAAACATGCATGGATGGGACCCTGTTGTAGATTCTCGTAGGCGGAAACAATCATATGAGAAACCTCTAACTTATAAATGTTTCACCAAAAAAAAAAAAACTACATTTTTAATTTTTACAAATAATTTTTGTGAACATAATTTCCAAACTGCCCTCAAATCTTCCCAAAAACATCATCATTATGAGAAAAAACAAAAAGCAAGCGTTCTACTTCTACACATCACAATCTTCAAGTCATCTTTCTATCCAAGTAGTTTGCCGCAACAAAACACGTTCACTATTAATCATTCCACATGAAATCCACCAAGAGAAATAATTAAATTACCAACTCCATTAAGACTAAGACAGACAATAACTAGAACAACGTATTAAGCCAAAATCAATATCATAAGATGCACTCCTCACTTTCTCCCACTCGCTCTTATTTCCCTTCGAGTCCAAATATAATTTAAATTATAAATTTGGTCCCAAGTTGTAATCATTGCCAAACTTGGTCTCCCTTTGAAAATGCAATAAATGGAGTGCCTCAAAGGCTATCTCGTCGGAAGGAAAATTCAGTAAAGCCAACGTCCTCATAATTACCAATTCCAGCTATGGCTATCCAAATATTCTAACAAATCTATAAAAAGCAAATTACAATCTTCATTACATAGACCGTGAAAACAATTATATATAGCAGAAAGACTTGGCAGCCGCATGCTCTAGAAAATGGGAGGAGATTAGGCGGGCTCGACTTCAGATGCCGACCCCACAGAGGACTTATGTTCTCAACGAACTACCCAAGCAGATGGAAAGGACCGACCCAGATAATCTCTGCTAAGGATGCAGGACTTCTAAAGAATCGCGGGGAATGGGTAGTCGATATGTAATTCACATTCACCACCGCAAGAAAAAAGCACTTTCGAGACCGAAGAGAACTCCCACTAGCACTCAGTTTGAAGGAGTGGCGCATCTCGACACAATTCACTTAACAAGATATCGCCCAACCAAAGTAGTGCACAGCATGCATGGCAATCGACCCAACATACAAGTTATTCGTAACAAGGTAAAATAAAATTAAAACGTATAAACAAAAATTGATACAATATTTCAAAAGAAATAACCATTCATAAAATACTGACTCTCCTATGCCTAATCACCTCCACTTAAGTAGATGCAAAAATCCTAAACCACACGATCATATGCAAACTCCCTGATTCAGATGGATGATTAGTAACCAGAACTGACGATGGAGAAACAAATCAAATGGTAATAAATGGGATGGAAAAACAACGTCCTAGTATGAGAAAAAAATGCCAAGAGAAGAATGCTATGCAGCAAAATATGTTTTTTTTAAGAATGCATAAAAATGTTATTTTCTGCAAGAAACCGAACCCAAACTTCTGTAGAACAGTTTCATGTACCTGCCAGAAGCATTTGATGCCGTTCCTCAATCCTCAAGTTAATTAAAAAGGAATGGCCATAAACATTATGAGAGCGTGCAACACAACCGCAGAGATTCAATCAAATAGTAGCATCTACAGTTGTAGCCGGCTGGGACCTACAACCTTCCAAATTGAAGATCCCAGAGCTGGGCAGAGTAGAACGAAATCCCAGGATAGGGCAGAAGCAGAAAAGCAGTGAAGCAGAAGCAGAAGCAGACGACTAGAAGCAGAAAAGCAGTGAAGCAGAACGAGACGACACCTCAACAAGGAAAAAAAACATACACCTTTAGCAGTGCCCTTCAAGACATTTGCTTAATAACATTATCAAAATAAATATGAACTGATGATACTTAAGTATATAGATCCTACAACTATATTGAAGGGATAAATAAAAAACAATTCAAATTGAAGATAGAAAGGACTTATCCAAACTCAAAAGTAGAGGCTGAGGGCGTCGCCCGATTTTAAAAAGGTCCGTTATGAAGTCCAACCACTAAAAACACATAGAATCGGAGTAATCCTCTAAACATCCTGTGTTTAACTAAGCCAGGTTGAGAAGCCCGTTGTCCTCAGCTCCTGCTCCGACGTCGGTCCTTTACACCATTTCTGCACAAAAGTGAAACAGTGAACACAACCAAATATAATTATAATTAGTTGATACTTGGAAGTGAAATAATCTCTGGACAAGAATGCACAAACTAACAACAATCAGTGAATATGGAGGTCTTCCATTGGGGCAACCAAAGAAAAAAAAAACCCACAACACAGTAAAACAAACAAATTCCATATATCTAGCAAGGACTGGCACCAAAATGTGTACATCCAAGATATTAAAAGAATGGAAGGAAAGCAATAAATAGAACAAAAATGCCCAAGTAACAGCTCTTTCTATAGCTGTAGCAAGCAGACTAGGAAGCCACAGTCATGGACGAGAAATTAAATCTACCAAAGCAGGGTATATCAAAGAGCCTCACCCATTGGCATAAGGCAGCTCCTCTCTTCCACGGTATGGAGGAGATCTGCTATAGCTACGCCCACGAGGTGACAAGCTGCGGCGTCTTGGGGATCTTCCACGGGGACTATAACTCCTATAAAGAGACTAATGATGTCAAAACCCCAGAGCATATATAATACCAAAGGGGATCAAGAAATCCAAATGCAGACAACTGGGAGTAAAAACAAATGTGACAAATTATAAACCAAATATATACTAAATATAAATGCAACATTCAATCTCAATGTTCTGACCTGCGACCATAACTTGGACTCCGACGGTATCGAGGACTGCGGCTACGTCTTCTTCCTGCACCACCACCGCCGCCGCCGCCGCCGCCACGTAAACGACATTCACGAGCAAAATGCCCAGGCTCACCACACTCGTAGCATTTCAAATCAGAACCACCAGAACGACCACGACCCCCTCCGCCACGGCCACCGCCCCCACCTCTAGAATTGTGAGAAAGCTCAACTCTCCAGCCATTCTTTCCTGATTCAGAATTTACTATTCTTATTATGTACGAACTGCTATAAACCATAAATGCTAAAACATGACAATAGTTGAGTGACAATGCATGTAAAGAATAGTTTGATTGACATGAACTGTCAGTCAACAAGTGAATATAGTAAGGCATTGCTAAACAAGTTCAAACACAAATATCAAAAAGGCAAAGAACAAACCATCAACACATGACAGGATGAAAACTTGATTATATTCAATAGGCTGAAGGAAAAATGATCAGGAAAGCCATAGGAGATTCAACTCAGTGTAAATAGCAAGTAAAAGGGGTGCCTAATAAAATATTAAAGATGAAAAAATTGTTGCATATAAAATTGCATTGCATCAATGAATAAACCAATAATAGAGGACAAGATGGTTTGTGTGAAGGTGAAAAGGTATTATGGGCTTAAACTTAGTTTAATTATTCAAGATGCACATAAAGAATCAGATACTAAGAAGCTCTACACAAAAGCATTATTAAATATCATTGTTAAGGCCAAGAGATATGTATGAAAAAATGCACCAACGACTAAAAGTTAAAACAATGAAAACTGCATCCAAATACAGAACCTTTCACCAATAAAAAACAAAAGCAATATAAAAAGCAAAAAAAGCCCACACATACCATCTAATTCATGGATTGCATCCCTTGCATCTCTGGGGTCATCAAAATCTATGAAGGCATAACCTGGGGGCCTTCGTGCAACCCATACACTGAAACACAACATTCAAAAATTGAAAAACCAAATGATTAAAATAAACAAAATATGTATGAGTCAGTCTAACACCCAGACGGTAGGCTTTCCTTTTCCCTATGAACTGCTCAGTCCTCAAAGATCATCAGATTGCACGTCTGGGAGTGTCAGCAAACCATATAACATTTGGTTGCATAAAATGGTGGGAAAATCAAATATCCCTATAGATGACCAGAGTGCCATGCGGTTAAGAATCCATGAGACCGTGACCACTCAGTCACAATAATGAGACCGTGACCACTCAGTCAAAATTCAAATACAGGAGTATTAATTCCTAATCTTAAGTGTTTTGCAACCAAAAAGCAGATATAATGAAGGAAATCATGTCCAAGAGTAACCTGGAATAAAAAATGGAAGTCAAAGTTTTAACTCTAGGTGACTAACCAATCCATGAATATTAGTAGCTTGCATTGTAGGACCATGGTGTCAACACAAATCTCTCAAGAGTTATCAATGAGAATTCTTGTGATCTAATTTCATCTAAATGCATGGCCAAGGCAAAAAAGTTGGTAGTAAACAGATAAATCAGTAAATTTGACGATTAAAAGTTGGAAATTCTTGAAATCATAATGTTAATGGTGCGCCAAGCCTAGCAGTGTGGCTGGTAAGAATTTATATCAAGAATGAAGTGTTTGAATTTGTACATATTGCTATGAACCTGGGGTACATTTCAACAATTTAACCGGCTAATAAGTAGTATATCCCCTGGCAGACGGGATTAAACATAAATTGAATGAGTTTGCAATCCACTTCAGAACCCAACAGAGACAGAGTGCGCGAAGCAATTTTTTTTTTTTTTTAAAAAGGTAGCTCATGAGGCATGAAGTTAAATATACCGCACCTTCGAATAACTCCAAAAACACGAAATTCATCTTCAAGCTCGCGCTCAGAAACCCTTGGATCCAAGTTCCCAACATACACGCGAGACATCTTTTTTCGATAAACCTGTCAATCCCATAAAGAATCAGCCAAGTTACCGAAAAATAAGCGCACGAACAGGAACGTCGTGTCGCCCATTCATGAACAAAAATACAATACAATACAACAATTCGCATATTATACTCCTAAAAATCCTATAACTAAAAACATACAAATCGAACAGAAGTTCTACGAAATGTTCATCCTCGGACTAAATTACAGAAAATCGAGCATTGGCCTTAGGGTTAACAATCCAACATGCGGAATATGACCGGAGGCTTGATAAATAATCTTTCAAGGTGAGAATTCAGGAAGAAAGCATGAAAATCCAAAAGAAAACGAATTCGAGAAGACATACGAACAGATCGGAGCCGACGATGCAGGCACCGTAAAAACCCTAGCAGCCCGACGGGTTTCTCTCTCCAAGCTTCAGATATTTTGGTTTTCGCGTACTACGGATTGAATTATATATCCGGCAAATTTAGGTCGGACTCCTTGCAAATATTGAAATTAATAGATTACCCCAAAATTTCGACGTATTCTAATATTTAACCTCCCGTTCGTGGGCTTTTTTTTCTTTTATCTTTTTCTAAGCAAAAATCAATTTTTACTTGGAATTTTTTTTTTCATTCAATAGTATTTTTATCCGGAACTTGTCCCTTCGGGGTCGGGGACATCCGACAAAATACTTGCAACTTAAAAACGTGTATCGAATTTTATTAATTAATTTATATAATTATGTCATATCTACTTGAAAAGTTATATACAATTTTAGTTTCTAGTAAGTTTTCATTCAAACAAAATTTCATTTAAAGTTTTTGTTAAAATAATATTCTTTATGTGCCTTTGAGTTCTTTTTTCTTTTTTGAATGACTTTTATTACTGCTTTACTCTCATCTCTGTCTAAACTGCACTAATTTTTTAATAAAATATATTAGTTGAATAAGAAATTTAATTCATTATAATTTTATTAATAAAAAAATAAATGAATTTAATTCAAATTGCAAGTAACAAATTATTAATTCACTTATTGATACAAAAATTTGAAACGTAAACCGTAAGAGTTAAAGCTAAAATTGAAAAATGAATAAATTAGTTAAAATATACGTATCACAGTGTGAGACTCAGTTCTCAACCACAAAAAGTGGAGTCCCACCTTTTCAAAGGTACACTGTCTTTAAGCAACCTAACTAAGTTCGGCTTGATAAAGGTTCGAACTAAGTACTGACTTTAATTTTAGAGTGAACATAGTCGAACACCACATCAATACGATGTTCTGTTTGCAAGTTTGTCAACTCGTCCTGTCAATTCCAGTTTCAAACTACCGCATACTTGTTTCATAGCTTTCAACTGAGCGGCAGACCCGACACGACTGACAAATAAGTCTACGTTAATAGCTGGTTTAATTTCGCGATAAAAGAGCTCTGCCTCCTAAACATTTGGCGATCTCAGATGTGTGAATATAGACGATGGCTCATTATTTTAGCATCTTGTCCATGATTCTACATCAACAATTATTTTTAGAGCATTTATTATTTTATAGTTAAACAAAAAAAAGGCATTTATTTTGCAACGGACCTTAGAGATTCATTTATATAAACGAAACTCCAAGAAAACGAGCATTGGGCTGGGCTAATAGAACGAACACGGGCTTTGAACAGGCCCAAAGACCAATGAGTCGGGCGAGTAAATCATAATGGGCTGGGTCACAAGGCCCAATGTCTACAGATCTCCTCTCTGCTGTGGTTGGGCCAGACTCTAAGTTTGTTTCTATCAGCCCAAAACGTACTTTTTTTTTTTTGATAAAAAGCGTTGGCCAAATTGATTATATATTAATATAAATAAAATCATTTTTAATTATGTTAATTAGTAAAATTTGGACAATAATAGCTTTTGAGATTGGTTCCCAAAAAATTTGGCGCCCGTGCTAACAAACTTTTTGAATATTTCATTTTCAATCTGAATTTACCGAACACTTATTTATTTTCTATTGCATTTAATTTTTATAGAAGCACAGTTGAGATAAATTATTTTAACAATTGCAACAACTAAGTATTTGTCGGTACAATACAAACATTTATCTCGATGTATTTTTCTTTTTTTCTAGTGTAGCATGTGGGGATGGAGGATCGAACTCACAATCTCATGGTTGAAGGTATATGTCAATTACCTTGAGCTATATTTACTTTGGCACGTATTTCTATTCTTTGCATGATAGATTCAGTTCGAAGTTTTTTTATTTTTTATAATACAGCATGTGGAAGTAGGAATTCAAACTCCCAACTTCATTTTGGAAATAAATGTCAACTAGTGCTGAGTTGTGGGAGTGGGAATTCAAACTCTCGACTTCATAATAGGATATAAATGTCAATTAACGTTGAGGTAGACTCAGTCTAACCGATCCGAAGTTAAAGACACAAGCAAAAGAGAGAAAAAATAGTTTTGAATAAAATAAAGTGGTGCATGCATGGAACAATATATAAATTTTTGTAATTTAGCATATGACTTTCTTTTTATAAAGATTTTTGTCATTTATCTATTGCGTTATGCCAAAACAAATCAGTATTTACTTTGAACACGTGTACAATGTCGTCATCAATAAAGACATGAAATTTCAATTCTATGTAAACAGATGTAATATAGATTTCTTAAAGTTTAAAGATTGAAGGTTAAATAAACAACCATCAAAATACAGTGGCTAAATATGTTTAAATATAATTAGAACTGTAATTTTACTCTTATTTTTTAATAGTTTTAAGCAATTTACAATTTTTGTAGAAAATTATATCGTTTGATTACATTTAAAAGAAAATTAAAATAAAATGCGTGGTGCTCTAGGCCTCGAGATAAATTGATTTATGACATCTTATTTAATACAACATGATAAGGGTCATCAAAACGAACATAACTTAGCGGTAATTGACATATACCTTCAATTTTGAGGTTGTAAGTTCGGTCTGCCACCCCATAAGTATATAGTACACCATGTAATTTTTTTTAATTTCATACCAATTCTATCCAATATTTTTTAACAGTTTCACAAAAATTACTTATGGCTAATAGTTTTAGGTTCAATATTTTTTTATAATAACAAAAAATTATGATTTGTAGATATGGAAAATTTTCATTGAAATAACTAAATATAATTTTCGAAAGCCTAAATAATTTAAAGCTCTCTCTAAAAATAAAGAACATGCATATATTTCTTCCATTATTTACAAAGAAAAATGTAAATAACATTCACAAGTCACTGACCGAACCTGCATTCCAAATGCTCATTTTATAAATTATTGAAATATTTTTTTATTAATTTTTTATCCATTCATTTCAAAAAGCAACCGAGATCAATTCAATCACGACAAACAAAATCATTCTAACCATAATCATAGTGGAGTTGGTGTAACAAGAACCAACCAAGAGAGTGAACCAACCATTATAAATTATCTACAAAAAGACACATAATATAGTTTAAATTAAGGGTGCACAACCAAATTGAGAAAACCGACTAAACCAACAAATCGTACTGAACCGATTCAAAAAATCGATTTTGACGGATTTTACGTCCGGTTCGATTCTTCAAAATTTAGAGAGTTGAAAACCAAACTCCAAAATCGAACCGAACCGTATACAATATATAAAATATATATATTAAATAATAAATAAATGTATAATGACTTACCTGTAGCGCCTGACATGATGGGTGATAGCCCAGATTGGGAGCATGACAGGCTTTTGCTTTTATTAAAATATATTTTTTTTCGTAATACGAAATAATCAATACTTTAAAATTTTATTTTTCTATTTATTTCATTATTTTCCCTTTTACTTTTCAAATGACTAGAGTTTCCCTTTACTTCTCTGCTTCTTCTTTTAACATTAACATTTCGAATCTTCTTCTCTTCTTCTACCAAGTCTAATTCTTCTCTTCTCCTGCATCTTCTTTCTTTCTTAGTTCTGGACCGAATGGCACCATCGATTTCGGTTCGGTTCGATTTATAAAGTATTTCTTTTTTATTTCTTTACATTAAAAATTCGTTTGGGTTTCGGTTCGGCCGTGAACACTAATTTGTGAAAGAAGAAAAAAGGGAATTGAGAAAGGGCATTATCGTCATTTTATCCTAAACTCTGACAACTTCCAAGAAGCCTCTGGGTTTCAATTTTAAACTCCCTTCTGTTGGTATTGAGTATTGACCATAAACACATCGTTGCTCACGCGCCGGTTCCCCTCATCGTAAACTCCGACGGAGAGAAATGGAAGATTCCGTTAGTCAATTCGACGTCATCGTCGTCGGCGGCGGCGTAATGGGCAGTTCAACGGCGTACCATCTCGCGAAAAGAGGAAACAGAGTTGTGATTCTGGAGCAGTTCGATTTCCTCCACCACCGAGGGT